TAAAAGAGGTCATTATTAACTTTGCCATAATCAGCATATTCCTCATGAATCACTAGTCTGGGTGGAAATATGTTCACTGTCTGTGGCCACAATTTTTTGTTTGTCCCTGCCACACTCACTATCACAGTCATTGGAGAACAAGTCAGATATTTCTTGTTCTCCGAGAAAACGCTTTGACTTGATCCATTTTGCACTAGTAACTTCCTGCCTGGTTCATGCAGCTGGAAGATGAACAAAGGCATTTTCTTTTGGAGTGGGAAAGGAAAACAGTTGGGTCATAAACAGCGGGGTCATGTTACTGACTATGAAGCAAACATTCAACAGGTCTGTCACGCACCAGGCATGCGTCTGCCTGGCGCCAGCGCAAGGTATAGTGTGTTCCAACATAACATGTCCTAAAATCATAAAAATTTGCCACCAGTCCACCACGTTTAAAAGCACTGGTCATAAAAATAAGCCACCAGTCCGCAAAGTGATACAATTCACAATTATACAATTACTGCCATCTGCAGTATCACAATTACTTCTCCTGCTGGAGTCACTGCCATTCACCTGATACAACTCAACTTGTAACTCAATACTCACTACTCTAGTAACTCTGGTTACACTGACAGATACTCCTTGTTATGTAGCTTCCGCACTGACAACACAGAAAACAGTTACGTGATAGCTACCACTGTTGCGTGACAACGTGTTTACCAGTTGCCTAAACAGTAGTCTCTGCATGGAGTTGCCTGTTGCGTGATATCACAGCCTAGCAGGGAGGGGTGTTTACCGAGCGTTGCATAGTTACAAGATGAGTGGGGTATGTGACGTCACTGGCACTTCCTATTGCGCAATCCAAGCATTCACAGTCTGCTTTTACCGGTTCTCATGGTCTCTTCGCTTGCAGATTTCTTATTTTTTCTTCTACCCTGAAGATGGAGGCGATACGTTCCTCCGAAACGTCGGTTAACACCACATATACACGGTGCCAAATCCCAGAAGACTGCTTTCTTCATTCACAGAGTTGTTGCCTAGCAACTCGTTGATACAATCCACAACTCACATTGCACACATGTCCTGAGGCCTCTGTGGCTCAAAAGTTCCTGCATAGAGCAAATATATCACAATATTGTGACGTGCTGCGCTATGGAGGACATTCCGTATAGCATAGGATGTTGGGGGAATTTGAAATGATGTGGAAATAAGCAGTTGTCTAATATAAGGCACTCTCAGCATTTGATTGCAGGGACAGGAAAACCTCAATAAGCCTTAGTCATGGTAATGTTAGTTGCCCAAGTAGCTGAAAAGGATTCAGCTTACCTAAAACATTTACTATCTCAGTGTGGTCCATATTCAGTAATGATTTTGGCATCCCTGGGCTGAAATTATGAACAGGTTTGCAACCTTGAAAAGCATGGATGATATTGTGGACATCAGCAGGCTTGACAGAGTATTAGAGAGAATATAACAACTTTCAGACAAAGAGAATGTAGATTATTACAAGTTAAACAGCCTAAACCATGATTTCACTGAAAATTATCAAAATACTTGTTGTTAGATTGAAGAAAGTGGGCTGAGCTGCAGTAGTTGCAGAATCCAAGACAAATGATTAAGAGATAAGCTGAACAGTGTGATGTGTGATAAAACTGGGAAGAGTCAGGAACTAAGAAGATGGTACATTTGAAATCGTAGTTAATGAACATTAGTCACATCAAATGAACACAGAAAAGAGATGTTTTCAACCAAAGTTCCTCAGAATTGTATTATTTGGGGGAGGGGAGAATGAGATTGTAGTCCAAATGGAGGTGAGTGTTCCTGACAAATTTTACAGCTTTATGGCCACTAGATTTTTGAGCAAAGACATCCAGAGTTTAACAAAAAAGAAATTATTTTATGGGCACGTGTTGTCTTAGAAAATGTGGCATAGCTTGTTCAGTAATTGAGACACAGCTCATTTTTTGCTCATTTCAGTGCTAATAAAATGTCCTTTGCCATGAACTGTTACATCAATATATTCAGCGGAGATATGTTTTAAGGTCTAAAATTTTAATCTTTGACCTTATGTTTCTCAAAATGCAGTATTTTATTTCTTAAGAACATTATTGTAGTGCATGTTAACTACTATTGTAAAAATTGCAGATATCAAGTACGGACTTGAATGGACTTGTGAACATTTTACTGCGAAGAATTGCTTCACTTATATTGATGACACAGTTTAAAGCAACATATTCCTTTTAGATTTTTTGCAGTTATTAATTTGGGTTAATGTAAGTTATGTTATTTTTCTTCAGTGACATGTCATTAAGATTATTCCTGTATATAGTCTTGAAAAACATTATGGGGAAGCATTATAAATTGCTAGAACTAACAGTAATCTACTGAGACAGAACTTACTTAGCTATATGTGTTTGGCAGGTGCATACGTGCCTGTCATGCATCATTTAATATTTAGCTCATGGGCAAAGAGTCTTGCAATGTCTGCAGTATTAGCAAGTCTAAGCACTTTTCATATGGTCTAGGCTGTTTGACTTGAAAGCTCTGCAGTTTAGTGTTCTTTGGGCATTTGTAGTTAAGTTCTAAAATTTGGGAAAGACTGTAACAATTCAGGATTTTACAGATTAAATTTGGAGAGTGCTTGCTGTCATTCTGGTATGGAATATTTAGTCATCCTGTCTCCTAGCTAAAAGCATCGATATATTTGATGACGATAAGCGTAGGTTGTTTTTCATCTTACTTCAGACAAAATGTATGCTTTCAAACATGAAAGCTATCATGTGTGCTAGATGAGTAAAGGTAGAATTACTGTGCTTGTATGTGTGAATATAGGGATCAAAAAATGTGCCATTGTTGGCAACTGGAAAGGTAGAGAAGCCATGTTGCTGCAAGCATGAGAAGTCCCTGCCATTTACATATTGTCGTATCAGTAATGCTTCGATAGCATACCATATTAATAATACATTTTTACATTGATTTTATATAACTAATAAAACATGCTGTGTATACCTGTATAGCTTTTTGATGATATGTGCAAAGCCTTTGATGGTGGCCAAGACTGAGAGAAAAATACTGGGAAAATAATAATGTAATAAAAAGTGTATCTGATGGTTATAATTTGGGACTTCATTATATGGTGCAGCTTGAAGGGAAATTATATTTAATTTCGTTTTTGACAGTTCAGATACACCATACAAAATATGTTCTTGTCACGTAAGGATCTCAAGGTCATATGTTATATACTGAGACACAGTGCCTTTTGTGGATACATGAGTGCCACTGCTCATGCTTGCTTCTGGCCTAGAGGTTGAAATATTGAGTATGCTGGCAGATGTGCAAGGTCGTCAGTATGCATAAATTGTTTGCTGATACGGATCCTTGCTGAAAACAATTCTTTCTAACAGTGATTCACTAGTAGCGTCACTTGCATTGTAAGAAAAAGTATTCATTAGTTCAATCTTCCATCTGAACCTATGCTAGAAAAATTATTGCTTTTTCTCATTAGTAACCTACTTCTGTAGTGTTAGCCATATATATTTTTTTCATAATTCTTTTCACTATTTTGTGTTTCTATTATAGTTGATAAAAACACATCAGCTGTTGGTCTATGCCGATGATGTGAATCTGCTGGGTGATAATGTAGATACCATAAAGAAAAACACACAAACTTTAATTGACGCAAGTAAAGAGGTTGGTCTAGAAGTAAACACAGAGAAGACTAAGTCTCGTCACCAAAATGCAGGGCAAAATCATGACAGGAAGATAGGAAACAGATGTTTTGAAAATGTGGCACAGTTCAGATATTTGGGAACAGTGATAACAGATCAAAACCTGATTCAGGAGGAAATTAAGGAGGTGATTGAACTCAGGTAATGCTTGCTACCATTCAGTCCAGAACCTTTTGTCTTCTCGTCTGTTATCCAAAAACATAAAAATTAGAATATACAAAACTATAATTTTGCCTGTGGTTCTGTATGGGTGTGAAACTTGGTCTCTGATATTAAGGGAGGACCATAGACTGAGGGTGTTGAGAATATTTGGACTAAAGAGAGAAGAAGTGACAGGAGGGTGAAGAAACTGCATATTGAGGAGCTTCATAACTTGTACTCTTCTCCAAGTATAATTAGAATGATTAAGCCAAGGAGGATGAGGTGGGCAGGTCATGTAGCACGAATGGGGGAGACGAGGAATGCATATAGGATATTGGTGGGAAAGCCAGAAGGAAAGAGACCAGAGGGAAGACCAAGGTGTAGGTGGGTGGACAATATTAGAATGGATCTTAGAGAGATAGGATGGGATGGTATGGATTGGATAGATCTGGCTCAGGATATGGACCATTGGAGGGCTCTTGTGAACGCGGTAATGAACCTTCGGGTTCCATAAAATGCTGGGAAATTCTTGAGTGGCTGCGGAATTGGTGGCTCCTCCAGAAGGACTCAGCTCCATGAGTAAGCAAGTAAGAGAATTAAATGGGATGATAATATTAAGGTGGATCTTAAAATAGGGGATGGAGGCATGAACTGACTCAAGACAGGGCCCAGTGGCAAGCTCTTGTGACCAAGGGAATGGATCTTTGCATTCCATAAAAGGCAGGGATTTTCATGACAAGCTGAATAGTGTTAGCTTCTGAAAAGGGTTTATTCCACATTAGGCAAGTAGAAAGTGTTTAATATTATGGTTTGCAGCTGGAAGCAAATTACAACTTTGGTTAGATCAGGGAACCAATTGTCATGAATTTTGCATGATTTTTCTCAGTCGGAGGAATGTGCTCAGATAATTCTTGAAAAAAATATGCCGTGACCACTTCATTCACTCAGTTCGTACGACATTAATATTTAACTTTTGAAAAATCTGAATTGAGGTAACTGAAAACACAAATTAAATACATTGAAAATAATAATCTTGTTTTAAGAAAGTGGATGTGATATGAATTCTTGATTGGTTTGTGATCAGCTTAGAGTTATGTTTGACTCAGTCATTAATTTATATTCTTATTGCCAACTTGGTTATGAATTCTCAAGACTGTGTACCAGGAGCAGAGATGGAGGCTACACTGCATCTGTCAGCAGTCAATAGTGATGCACCATATGTTTTGGCAACTTCACCAATACCTTCTTCACCAGCACAAGACAGTCAAAGTTCAACAGCCTCCAGTGGTAGGATGGAGAAGTTCCTCTTACTTGAAGCCCTGCTTAGCTTTCTACACAGCGCAGTGAGTTCTGTTTGCATAATTGGGTTTCATATGTATGTAAGCTTATATTATATGTATACATTACATAGGACAGGAAGAATGAGAATGCTTGCAATATTGATGAAGTGTTTTGTGTGTGTGTGTGTGTGGCATCTTGCACTTGTAAGTACTATTTGTGTTTTTAGCTATCAGGCTTAATTTGTTACCAGGTTCTGTACCTGCATTATTATTTATATGAAATTCTTCTGTCATCTGTTACTTACTGCTCTTTCATGGCTGTTAGAAGACCAGTTCTCGTTCCACCAACTGCTCCAAGTTCGCTAACTTTGCATTAACTTTGAAGTGTCATGTTGTTTTTACGTTGTTTATTAAAGATACCTGTAGAAGATCAGCCTGATGTACACATAGTTATTTGGGTCATTCAAAAATGATTGACACTCCCTCCATAACTCTGGAAAAGTAGCAGTGTCAAATGTGAGCCAGAGTATGTGGGAAGACATACTGTAGTGCCGCCTATGGCCACGAGATGACTTTCCTACTGTGCACAGGTCAAACAGTGCTGCGTCATTCATGGCAGTGTGCAGGTGCAGTCGTGCACAATGCTCAGACAACATGGAAGCAGACAATCACAGGGAACGGTGGACTGTGTGGTTTCTCTGGAGGGAAGGAGTGGCTGCTTCACACATTCACAGGAGACTCCAGAAAAGAAACGCCAGTCCATGGAATGGAAACACTCTGGGAGCCCTCCTCCACAGAAGTCACGAGCAGGACTATTTTTCCAGAAGCAAATGGCAACTGTGTTCTGGGATCAGGAGGGGATCCTTCTGTTGGATTGGATGCCCCCCAATATGACCATCGACAGTGATCAGTACTGCAGTTCACTGCGCCAACTCTGCCGATACATTCAGCAACGCCACCATGGAAAATGAGGGCGCTGCATTTTTCTCCAACATGGCAATGCGCGGCCACATGGAAGTCGGCAGACCATTGCCACTCGGGGTGCTCTAGGGTACACCATGGTACCTCATCCACCAATCTTGCCTGATCTTTCCCCTAGCGGCTACGCCCTATTTGATGCAATTAAAGACGTCATGCAGCGTCAGATGTTCACCTCCAATAACAAGCTTCAGTCAGTTGTCCAGCAGTGGCACTGGGATACCCCCAAAGAATGGTTTGCTGTGCAAATACAGAAACTGCCAGAACGATGGCAAAGCTGCATGGACATTGGCAGGGAATACCTGTAATATAATCTGTATGTATTTTGTTCCAATAAATGGTTACTGTGAAGAAAAAACATTTAGTGTCAATCATTTTTTAATGCTCCTAGTAAAAGCTTCAAGATTTTTTAAGGATGTGTGATACCTGTTTTGTATTTGCAGTTTCATTATTTCAGTATGTCTCATTTTAAGCCAAACCCAGACAAAGAATGGATAATCTAGTTAGTATTACATATAACTTGTATGTAATAGTAAATATTTAATGTATATGACTTGAACAAACTGTATTTCATTTCATAAATCATGCCATCACATCAACACAAGTTTTTGATTCCAGAATTTTGAATAAGTTTGACTGAAGAATATCCTTGTTGTATTTTTGCTTGTTTGAAAACGTGTCTCTTTATGAAAAAAGTTGATTGTTTTCTTGTGTTTAGGATAGATATTTGTATTTATATTACGTTTCATCAAGACAGAGTGTTCATTGAGAAGTTGATTCATAATATTCATCAGTACTATTAAAAGCATGTTCAGTGAGATAGTTTTTTAATAAAAATTTGAATTTTTTAGTATCTTTGGATAGCAATTTAATGTTTGAGGGTAAGTGGTTATAAATCTTGCTACCTGAGAAAAGCACTCCTTTTTGAACTCTTGATAGATTTGTAGGAGATAAATATTGTGACATATTTGCGCTATGCAGGACACCCCCTCCCCCGCCAGCGGTGATGTAACACCTTTGGAGCATTGCCGCTGCTACGGTAATAGGCCAGTCAACATCCCCCACCCCACGGTGACGTTACCAAGGGATGCCACGGTTGCTACAGAGCAGTAAACAACTTGACAGTGTTGCTAGGCAACCTGTAAACATGGTGTCGGGCAACAGCGGTACCTATCACGTAACTGTTTTCTGTGTTGTCTGTGCCGAGGCTAAATAAGGAACAGTGAAGACTATTCAGGAGTGAGTATTGAGCCAGTTACGAGTTACAAGCAGTTGAAATATAGCAGCCACCTAAAACAGTTAAAATGTAGCAGCCACCGAGGACAATTAAAACGTAACAGCCGCCGAAGACAGTTGGAATATAGCAGCAGTCGCAGAAAGAAACCCCGTACGCGTGATCAGAAGAGTTTATGTGTGATAATCAGCGATAGTTTGTGATAATTGGAGAAGGTATTGGGAGTGAGTAATTAAGTGACACTTGTATAGCTCCTGCGTTATTACTACGTGAAGACTACTGAGAACAGAGTGAATAGAATAGTGTGCAGGGTTTGTGGATTGTATAAACCCGCAATAGTGTTATAATTAATTGTAGCCAAGACTTTTAGGTTGTTAAATAAACCAGTTAACAATCCGAATGGCGTCTTCAGTAGCAAAACAGGTTACAATATAAATTGTGATTATAATGTGTGTTGATATCATGAATATCAGTATTAGCTATAAAATAATTTCTGTTCTTAACGACAAAGAGAAGTAAGGAGAAAATGTACTGAGACTGAAGTGGCAATATTTGTAATTTTTTAAACAATCCGCGGCATAAATCCAGTCTACCCGAACCAGATATAACTTATTATTCTTTTTTTAATTTTGAAGATACACTCATTATGAGGGGCATTGCCCCAAAATGTAATACCATACAACAATAAAGAATGTACATAGGAATAATAGATCATCCTCATTGATTCAAGTGACATAAACTTGTGTTCTCATGGTTGCTGTGATTCTTAACCAAGGTTCTTTTCATGTTTACTTTATATGTCATTAATCATTTTACGGATTAATTTGATTTTATTACATAATTGTATTTATCTGTGTACAAACAATTCTTAGTGTTTATTTCACATATTGTTCTGTTTTACAAATTAATTTGATATTGTTCACTATGCAGTTGTATGTATTTGGGTGTAAAGAGTTTCTATAACCACTTATGTAAAGAAGCTGTTACATATGGTAGGTCTTACATGAGGATGAACACTTTCTTGATCTAATGTTGCGTAAAACCCATTTAAGGAAAACTTGGTTTAATATAAGAAAAGCCATTAACCCCAAATATATTAAATAGTAGTTTCTCTGCAACTGGATACTACTACTAGGAATTTGCTCGAATATAATACAGAATTATATTTTCAGGAGGTATTTAGAGGAAAGAAAGTGCAAATTGTATGTAGGTAAGTATGGAAGTAATGGAAGAAAAAGATGATGGAATACTGAAAGTCTATGATATTATCAGTGACTTCTGCATCATACTTCCTCCAGGGCTTGATTGACACCACTTGTTGATCCACATCCAGCATTTGCTAAACACTGCCTTTTCCATCATCAGGGTACTTCACCTGGTCTGATGATGGTAGCTGCAATGTTCACCAGACTGGATATAGCTCAACAGACAATGTTCCTGAAGTTTGCATGCAATATTATGTGTAGTGTTTTTTGAAATCTCAAGCTGGAATAATGTGGTTAGAATGTTTTCCAGTTAGGCAATACAGGCAGTGTACTGAACAGGGGTAATGACAAGTCTTTGAAAGATTTAGAGCTGTATGTAAAGTATCGCTGAAACACATTGGATTTTATCTTTCAACTGAGAGAAGAGAGAGAGATAAACATGTGGAAACCATACGAATTCGGACAGTAAATAATTGAGTGTAACTTAAATTAAAGAATGCAAAATATAAATGAGAGTATAAATTTTACTTTCCAAGTTTTGACAGTTATCAGAGAATCTATCTTGTACAAGGTGGTTCAGATATGACTGGGACTGATTTGTGTGTAAACAAGCCACACTGCATAGCAGCTGTGCAACCTTGATAGAGTTAAGCCACAACCTCCACCCTCCCGACTGTTTGGGTTAGATCCTGTTCAGTCCTGTCTGGGAGTTGCTAGAGTTATGAGCAAACAGAAGGTACCGCATTGTGATCAAATTCCTTGTTGGAGAAAATGTCCCATCTGCTGAAACTCAGCACAGACTCCAACAACAGTATGGGGAAGAGTGTCTCTCATGGACCCATGTGTTTGAGTGGTGTAAGTGCTTCAGAGAGGGCAGAGCGCACGTGGAGAATGAACAGCATGATCGTCGGCCGCAATCATCCGTCACTGAGCCAAACATTGATCGTGCAGCCGCACTTATTCGTGAGAATAGGCAGATCACTATCAAGGAACTTGGAACAATGCTGTCTATCCATGTTGGTAGTGTAGAAGACATAGTGAAATGCCACCTGCACTATCGCAAGGTGAATGCACGGTGGGTACCATGCACTTTGATGGACATGAACAAAATGGTACGCATGCAAGCTGCCACTCATCTCTTACAGCAGTTTGAAGATGATGGTGATGCACTCTTTAAGTATACAGTGACCACCGATGAAACGTGAGTGCACTACTTCATTACTGAGTCCCAGCAGTCACCATGCGAGTGGCGGCATACCAGTTTTCCCAAACCCATGAGAGCGCGGAGGAGCGGTTCAGCAGAAAAAGTGATGGCAATGTTCTTCTGGGACTGGCAGGGGGTTATCCATGTAGACTTTCTGACAGATGCCAGAACAGTCAATGCAGCTTATTACTCACACCTCCTGGCAACAGACGTGAAGGAAAAGATCCAATCCAAGTGGAAGAGAGGTGGAAAGTGGGTAGCCTTCCTTCAAGACAATGCACACCCCCATAAGGCCAAAACAACAATACAGACCCTCTGGAAATTGAAATGGAACCTTCTGACACATCCGCCGTACAGTCCTGATTTGGTCCCAAGTGATTTCTACCTGTTTGGAAGGCTGAAATCAGATTTGCAAGGCACGCGGTTTGTGGACAACGATGCTGTCATCCAGACTGTTCGAGAGTGGATACGCCGCCAACCAGAAGCCTTTTTTTTAATAGGGCATCAGGATGCTTCCAGAACGTTGAAGACTGACATGTGCAAGTAAGTGTTTGGCAATTATGGTTTTTAAAAAAATCTGTCCTGGCCATATTTGAACCACCTTGTATTTTAAAATGAATCTTGCATTTATTGGTTTGAAAGTAAGAGTTATAAAGTTGTGTTCTCTTAGCCAGTTAATTAACAGAAGAAAATGATGAGAAATTAAAGGTATGATTACCAAAACTGAATTATTAATTCATAATTGTGACAAATTTCGTCAGAACTAGCATGTGCAAATAGCATTGTTGATGTTACCTTCCATTTCTAATAAATTTCTTCATAAATAATGGTCTTTTTTATTTCTAGTGATTCATATCAGTATGTTATACCAGTGGCTTTTTTCTTATTGAAAACAAACAAATAACAATGGCTGAATCAAGGATAGACATTTTATTTGCCCTTTTCTTTTTTTAGTATTAATTTTTTATCAGGAAGCAATAAACATATGGTCCTTTTTCTTTCCTGTAATCTTGAGTACTGGCAGTTTCCTCTCTAGAACAAAAGTACTGGATAATTGTGTTGTTGAAAACTAACACTCTTCTTCCTCTGTCTGTAGGATAGTAGGGTAGTGGTTAAGGCTTGTGAGGGGTTGATGGTGATGGCATCGCTTCCATCAGATGTGTTTGCACGCTCAGTGGCGTGTCATTCCGACTTGTGCACCATACTGGCCAACAAGCTGAACACCTTGTTTGCAACTATCCCACCTGACATTGATCCAAACGATATAGATGATATGCAAGTCAACTGGGGGTAAGCTTATTCTTCAAGGGAGAATTCAAGCTGTGGCCATGGCATGATCACTTAGGTCAAGGGTGAAGGAAGCAATTAAGTCGTTTGTTTTGTACAGTAACATACACATGTGCTTCATAGTGACACCTGTTACTGAATAATTAACAAGATGTAGTACACAAAATTCTCAACACTGTTCTTCGCAGTTCCCGAGCTTGCGTACACTCTGTTTATAAAATTTGGTTAACAATTGCTAATATACATGAACATTTCTATTTATAACTTCTAGTAAAGTGGACTTTATTATGGGTTAGCAAGGCTGAAAATCGAAATTACTTGGCATCTTTTAGAGAAAGTCTCCCATATTGAATTTTAGAAAAATGTGCCTAAAGTTTGAACATTTATACTAGGTGACTGACACACAGTCGTTACTGTAGACATTTTTGTGCAGGGACCTACAGTATAAAATTGTATTAAAATCAGCCCAGCAGTTTTCGAGTTATGAGGCAACTGAAAAAGTTCCTTTTGTTTACTTCAAAATCCATGAGAAATGTTCGTTGGGTGTGAATTATGTTTCATTTTTCTCAGAAACTTTTGTTTGAAACACTTTGCTGTGATAAATATATGCATAACTTACAGTCCAGTTACACAAACAAAATGCATATATATCTTCATGCAAAGTCTCCATTAATTTGACTGATTTTAGCCAAAATTGGAATTGTCTGACAGCTTTTACTTAAAGCCTCATGTACCAGTTTTTAAAGAAATCTGTTCAGATGCTGATTAGTAGGTCACAGACATGACCTTTTTATAAGGCTTTTTTAAGGTTGTGAAGAATACCCAAAAAGTTGGAAATGAAATTATCTTTTCTTGTAAGCAGAAACTAATCACTTTAATTGATGACATTATTCTTGTTGTGTCAGTTACACATTAGTACCAACTGAAACCATCAGACATAATATCCATGAAGTTGTTGCATCTGTGAATGGATTTGAGGTGCTGAAACATGTAGGGTAGTAGTAGTAGTAGTAGTAGTAGTAGCTCATTATGCAGCTTTCTTAAGCCTCCTATTATTTCACTCCTCTTGGGTCCATATATTCTCATCTGCTTTAAATGCAGTGGATAATACCAGGGGGTACGTGGTAGTGTAGTTGGTTGAGGCACTATGCTACAAGCTGGAAGGGCACAGGTTCAAGTTCTGATGAGGTCATTAGATTTTTCAATTGACCTAATCCTTCCAGCCGCACTATGGCCCTGGGGTCGACTCAGCCTCTGACAGAAATGAGTACCAGGAATCTTCCTGGGGGTAAAGGGCAGCCGGTGCGTAAGGCTGATAACCTTAACCACCATCTTTGAGCCGATTGTCTAGATAATTTTAAACCCTGAACATCTCAACCCTATGGGCCTCTGAGGCCTGTTACAGGGATAGCTTTACCTTTTTTTTTTTACCTATTTTTAGCATTGTAGTAGTTACATTAACAGAAAATACCATTGGGTGAACAGGCTCATTATCTCTCATCGAATTTCAGGTAAACTCATATAGCCTAGTTTGGATTGCACGGTCTTATGTTGTTAATGTCATATTTAGGAAAATTCAGTTTAACTTGTGCATTAGTCTGCATTCTAGATATAAATATTTTCTTGTTCCTTGCACTTATAAATATCTTACAGGTTATCATCGTCATCCTCATTCATGATTTAAAGCTTTCATGGTGACTGTGTGCCATGAAGTCTTCTCAGGTGATTACGCATGTGAATGTGGAGTTGTTATTCAGCATTTTGGTGACTGTCTACATTTCCGTCGCCATGGGGTTGATATGATGAATGTCATGGCCACACATATTTGCACCTGCAGACAGGTGAGAGCATACTGTCTGGGTATAAATACATGTGGCCTCAAAACTTTTTGTATCAACCTATGGTGGTGGAGGTGGAGACAGTCTCTGAAAAGTTTTATACCTACTGTATATTCACACTACTCAGATGATTGTCGAAGAAGACTTAACTGCATTATATTGTCTTCAGCAGTTTAACCACCATCACTGCTGCTGCTACTTTTAGGAAATAATACTTCTCAGAGTTTGACCTTTGTCACATTTGTAATTTAGATTTACAAGCATTAATTCATACAGAACTTGTATGTGTTTATGATGTGATTTATCTCAGTATCAAATGTTGCAATTCTGTAATCTCAGTAAGCAGTAATTAACTAACTAAAAAATGTCAAATACCTAACTTCCACTGGGTCATTTATAATCGCCGTCAAATCAAACTCAAAATGAAGATTTGTGTAATGGCCAGTTACTTTTCTATATTCTATAAAAAATTAAACTTGCTTGGTTTTCAAAAAGTCGTTTCATTGCCGTGGAGTAAGTGGTGCTGGTGTTACTCCTGCCTCGTAAATTTATGCGGACACTGTGTTGTTTTTACCAGTATTAGTAAATAGAAGAAAGAGTACAAGGCTTGCTTGCCTTTTAATAGCATAGCATTCATGCCAAATTTCATGAAAATCAGTCACTTGGTTCAGAAGCTAAAATAAGGGATACACACAATATGGTTATCTCATAGGCCTGTTTTTTTTGTAGGAAAAGGGAAATTGTCTAAAAAATACAAGGTTAAGGAAATTCTGTCAGTGCAAGCGACAGAAAATAATATTGCAACAGTATTTAGACACATTTTGTACCATATTCCCTGTTGTATACTTTTCCTTTCAGCTATTTCCCTGCATAATTTCACCTCTTTTCTTCAGTATAATACTAATCATTGTTCAAATAACAAAAGCTGGCTGTTCATTTCATCTCATTTAAGGATACCATATATGCGCATGACATACTAAAGAGTATGTGGTAACATGATATTTAAACATGAGAACGTGACAGTGGTAGTAGGTGGAATACTGTTGGGCAGAGGAAAGGAGGTATGAGAATGCTGGCTCTGAGTAACTGACATTGGTGGCAAATTTCAAAGTGGCAGTCATTTGTGGTTTTTTTCTGTCTGTGTGTGTGTGTGTATATATATATACACACACACACACGAAGGGGGACCCAAAAATAACCGAAAACGACCTGTTGCGCGCCCATGCTTTATAGTAACGAGTTGTGCTGCTAGGTGGTGTTAGCTGGGGGTCTCCTGCGACTGTTAGTGAGCTGGCGTCAGTCTGAGTTAAGTGGTTTGTCTGTGGTGCTCTGTTGTGTGCGTTCCTGTTTCAACCCTTTGGCGATTAGTGAGATGGCCGACCAGAAGGAACAAAGAGTGTGCGTGAAATTTTGCTTTCTGTTAGGGAAAACTGCACTTCACTCTTCAAGTCGCGGCAAACATTCGCGCGGTTTTCTCTTTGGTCATCTCCGAGCAAGCGAGGAACAAATTTTGCAGACATCCGTCTCATGTGCAAACCTTCGGTTAAAATTCGCTGGACCATGCTCCATGAGATGTTCGTTTCCTCAGAAAGTTGGTCAATGGTCTTTCGACGATCTTCATCAATTTCACGCACACTCTTTGTTCCTTCTGGTCGGCTATCTCACCAATCGCTAAAGGGTTGAAACGGGAACGCACACAACAGAGCACCACAGACAAAGCACTTAACTCAGACTGACGCCAGCTCACTAACAGTCACGGGAGACCAGCTAACACCACCTAGCGCACAACTCGTAACTGCAAAGCATGCGCGCGCAACAGGTCGTTTCTGGTTATTTTTGGGTCCCCCCTCGTATATATATACTATATGTATATAGCAACATTTATTTACAAAAAAATTCATGCCTGAGAAAGAAAGAGAATTTTGAAAATGTCTGAGCCAGTAAGCATTCACAACAATTGTATAATAAGCAATCCCATATAAGCTATTTATCAGACAGATCTGTTTGAGGTGTATTGGAGAGTTCCCAGACTAGGTCACAAAAAGAAACAGTGGCATAACTTACTCAATTTTGGGTCCCATCTCCTTCAAAATAGTCTCCTTGAGGATGTATACAGTGATCCCACCGTTTTTTCCATGCTTCAAAAGCACCGTGGAAGTCATGTTCCTTAATGCTGTTGAATACAGCTTGTTATTCCCTTCAGATGTCAGACACTGCTTCAAAACATCTTCTCTTCAGTCTTATTTTCCGTTTGGGAAACAAAGCAAAACCACAGGGGGCTAAGTCTAGTGAGTAGGGAGGATGGGAAATGATAACCGTGTTACTGTTAGCCACAAACGCTGTGATTTTCAGGGACATGTGGGCAGACGCGTTGTCATGATGAAGGAGCAATGCAGTGCATGTTCAGATTGTCTTTTAAGATCTGCTGGCAAAATCCATAACTGATCCCAGTGGTGTCTGCAACCTCGTGGATTGTTCGGCAACAGTCTTCGTTGATGAGCTCACAATTTTTTTCAACATTTTGCTGGTGCTTGATCACTCTGAAAGTTTGTCATATTCTGTTGACACTTGACCAGTGTTGAAACGTGAATACCATTCAAAAGCCACTGCCCGGCTTAAAGAGTATTCTCCAAAAGCCTCACAAAGCATTTTAAGGGTTTCAGTAGCGGATTTCTTGAACTTCCCGCAAAACTTGATGCAGACACGTTGCCCCCCCCCCCAATTCATCACAGACAAAATGAAACACGAAGTCAAAAATGCACTTGTATAAGAATAGTACATGTTCACTGTGCGGTGTCACATGGCATACTGATCCAATAGACTTGCGAAAGTGTGACCTTGGCCTCCACTCTCATCTTTCACCAAGGCAGTTACAATAATAATAGTCCCGGAACTTTCTGATACCACCTCGTATATATTCAGAAAATTATTTCCTTGCACAGATCATTTTTTTTTATTGCTAGTGGGGTGGACTAAGTCCCTTGTACTGTGGCCACTTCTGGCCTATTGTACCAGCCCCAGATGATAGGTGAGGGTGATTGTGGAGCAATTGGTGGAATGAAGATTGGCAGGGGAAACCTAAGTACTCGGAGAAAACCTGCCCCAGCACCACTTTGTCCACCACAAATCCCACTTGACCAGACCTGGGATCGAACCCGGCCCATCGCGGTGGGAATCCAGTGACTAACTGCTTGAGCTATGGCGCAGCCATTCCTTGCACAGATAGTACTACTACTTGTGTCTTGACAGATTAGGCTCTCTGGCCTATGCCCATTCAGAATCAATTTTAAATTTTAATATTGTAGACAGTAGGTCTCCTTGTAGTGGTGATCAGCTCATCACAAGGCGGCTATCTACACAGGATAACACAAACACAGAATAAATGTAGACAGACATCCTGCTTTGAATGGGATTCGAGCCCATAATCCAAGTATTTGAACAGGCAAAGACATTTTATGCGTTAGATTGTGCAGCCAATGTGATCAGCACAGATAACAGTTTTAATTAGTATTATACATTCCAGTACTAATTTTCCTACTCATAAGTACTACATGCCAAACCTAATTGTATGTGCAAAAATAAGTGAACCATTACTCTCACCCTCTTTCTCTCCCTTGCTGTCTTCCTCTTAAGGAGACAAGACGAGAGAATTGTTCTCTTTGAAAATTTCACTGAACAAATTCAATTGTACTGCTCTCAGAAATACTGTTTGCTCATTCCACATCTGAGAGGGAAGTACCAACATTAAGGAAAGTTCATTTAGCAGCCATAAATGAAATCACTTTTGTAAGGCATAGAAAAATATTAAAGAAAATTATAAAATCTTTGACCTTTGAGTGTAAGAACTCTAAGAATGGCAGACAGGGCATGTGGTAGATAGTTTGTTAAGGCACTATGCTACAAGCCAGAAGGTAGCAGGTTGGATTCATGATGAGTACATTGGATTTTTCAGTTGACCTAATCCTTCCAGCCAAACAGTGGCCCTGCGGTCAACTCAGCCTCTGACAGAAATGAATACCAGAAATCTTTCTGGGGGTAAAGGGCAGCCAGTGTGCAAGGGTGACAACCACAATGCCATGAAATGAAATGAAACGAAACAAAATGAAAATCTGTGAGCTGATTATCTAAAAAAAATGTGGGAGCCACGCTGTCTTACAACTCTGTGGGCCTGTACACCCTCTTACAGGGATAGCTTTACCTTTTCTCTAAGAACAGACATGTGGTAGCCAAATACCACGAGAACACAACAGAGCATTTGGTTATCAAAGTGGTTATTAAAAGTGGATCTATTCTCATTATGCAGTAAGCTGTTAGCAAAGTTGTGATGAATTTGACGTAAGGAAAGGTGATAGCCCTGGCCTAAGATTCATGAATGTCCATGCTGTAGATAAGACTGGACCCACCAATGTTATAATGTTACAAACAAAATCAGGAAATTACCATAAGATGAATTTTGAAAATTTCATGACATGGTTTGAAGAAATACATGTACCAAATTTGTCACCAAAAGGACTGATTGCTATTGGCAACATTGCCCCAAAAAATAAATATGAATGTAGAAGAATGGAAATATCCCTGTGATTGTGTGTAAAAACTGGAAGAACAATGAAGAATTGTATCTTCTGGGATATAATGCCATATAGCCTAATGAAAGTCAACTGACATTTCAGAGGAACATGTTCCCCCCATCTTCTGTGTCAAAGAATAGGCCAAGGAAGAAAGCAGCATGAAGCAGGTAGCAAGCCAGAGTCCTTGGTTGTCTTTTTGACACTGAAGGTGTCAACATGTTCCTCTGAAACGTTGGTTGATTTTCAGTAGACTGCATGGCATTATATCCCGAAGACAAAGCTCTTCATAACCACTGGTATGAGAACTCCAAATCCTACACAGAACAGCAGTACTGGAAAAGTGACATGATTGTTGAGCAAAAAATGGAGACAGTGTTAATTGAGCTTGGACACACAAGTGAGAAAACAGCATCCATGCTAGCAGCAAGGTTCACAGGATCTAGTACAGAAGTATTAAGTTAGAGCAAAAGTAAGATGCAACTGTTCTTCTGTACAGTACAGGTTACTTTCAACAGTAACTGTATATTTTGTTTTATTTTATGGCTTTGTGACAAACTTCATATTCAAACCATTCCCCCCTGTCCTTTCCCTACTGAATGTACAGTTAAGTTGGTTAGGTAGCATATGGATAAAAGTTTATATTGCAGTTTGCCGTTATTTCATTTTGAGTAAATGCTTTTGTTTCAGTAGTACTGTTATTGTTTTCAGCTTGGACTCCCCTGTGTGGACTGATAGTTCACAGTTCCCAGGTTGTCGACAGGTGGCAGCATTTCTTGCATGGCTTGACTATTGTGACCAGGCGAGTGTATTCAATCAGTTGTATTTGCCACATTTCAACTGTAAGCATTTAGTTTTAAACAGGATTGTACAAGAAGTGAAATGAATAATGCTTAAAATTCTGTGAAAAGGAAGTACCATTCTGATTCTTTTAGGACTGTGATGCTTATAGCAGTTTATTATATGTACAAACAGTCCCTGTACAGTGACTTACAATCTTTATCACCCTATCATTTGCTGTAAGAGAATACTGTTCTCTAGTATTGTTTCATGTTTGATTGAAAGCCAAGAAGACCATAACTGAAGGCTTAAAAAAATTTCATATCAAAATACAGACATTGTCTTGAATATTTATTATCTATAACCCTATTGAATATCTATATCAGTATTTGATGCAAACAGCTTGTTCGAGAATCTCATCCCATCCTAGGCACAGCACTGGCCAACAGTGTGCGATTGGAGTTTCTTGAAAAAATTCTGGGCCCGGCCCTTCTCCAGCCAGATGCTTCAAATGAAGTTTTCATCACTGCCTTTATTAGCAAATGCTTGAAACAAGTCTCTGCCCCTGCCCTGCTTACTGGTAAGCACCAACAAATGTGGACGTTCACATAGTTCTTTGTGTAACGGAATTTATGAGAAGAATAGTTCAGTCAGTAAAACGACTAGCAGTGGGCTGGATAGACGGGAAACAAATTTCCAATGGAGGTAGGGATTCTTTTCTTTGAAAGCGGATCTGGATTGATTTTTGGATCACCCAGGTCCCTATCCAGTGAGTACCTGGGGCCCTTTCTCTGATGTCAAAACAACTGGAGTGTGCAACTGACCATCTGCATCTGGCACAGTATTTTAGTGTGTATGCCTGTTACTAGGTAGCAACCACTAAACAGACAGGTTGCCATGGCAATGAGTCCACATGCAGCAATAGAGGAACTGTTGGAAACTCTTCTCTGTGTGGTCCATGCCAAGGGGTTATATAACGACACCAACTGAGCTTCTGTCAGTTGTAAGTCAGTCTGTGAAGTGGAGACTAGGAGGTTGGTGTGAGATGGCTGCCAGCCTGAGAGTTAGGCAATTGAAGCAAAAGTTTAGGTTCGTGGAATAGTAGCCAGCAGGCAACAAAGTGATCACAGAAGCTGAAGAATCTTAACCGTTAGAAGCTGTTACCAGGAAACAACTAATATAGACTGTAACAGACTGAGAACACTAGTCTGTGCGTGTTAGTAATTTGTGAAGTGTAATAATGAGTTGTATAAGTGTGCAGTAAATCCAATTACCCATCCAGATCCCATCTGTAGTTACTCATAAATGTGACAATATGTGGAACATTACCTCAGTGTCTGTGCTGTAATATTACTAAGTGCATTAAATGCAGTTTTCCTTAGGCTTAGATTTTTGCAGATTTTATAATATTCTGATCCACTGGGCCCTGAATTATTGAATTAGATTCTGTAGAGGAAAGGATGTGACATCACATGCATTTTCTGTTATTTACCATTGTGGCACTTCATGGTGGTAAGATCACTATACATTAAGTTGCATATGATTGCCTGGAAGTGAAATGCAGGTGCATTTGGATTGTTTCATGCATTATGTTCACATGTGTCTGTGCGCTTGCATGCACATGCATGTGTCCGTCACTTCTGTGTATGTATAAGAAATTGTAATTTTGGGATTTTTCATTGTTACACAATTTCAGGTTGTCATAGCAATGAATTGTTGAGTATAAACATGTTTCATGAATTTAAGTTATGTAGTACATCATGAGTGAGCAGTCTTTTGTTTGAGTTATCTTGTCTATTCTATGAGCATTGACACAATTTTGATATACAGTACTATAGAAAGGAGATAGTTTACAAATGAGTATATGTTATTTATGGCCTCGAAACATCATTCGATAACATTTGGGACTGGAAAGGAATATGGGATTAAGGAGGGAGAGTTAATAGCATGAAAGCTTATACAACATTACAAGACTTCCTTGTGGTTTTTTAGTGGGTGTTACACTAGTGTGCATATATACTACCACAGTCAATAAGTTCATGGAATGGTCATAAAGCGTCATACGGGAATTTACTGTCACTATGTTTCAGCAATGTTTTTGACAGCTATATGAACGTTGGCAGTCTTGCATAGCGGCCAACAGAAACTATTTTGAAGGCCGATGTGGATCTGCATTAAGTGTATGTGAATACCTTGTAATGTAATGCAATAAAACCACATTCCACGAATTTAGTGACTCTACCACGTACAAGGGCTGTTTGGAAAGCAACCTCCAGTGAACTGTTAACAAAACAAGCATGGAGAAAAATAATTTGTTATATACAAAAAATACGTACATACTTAAGCTACGTCTCAATGCAATCACTGCCAGAATTGAGTCACTTGTTGTGTCGGGGAATAAGTTTTTGTATGCCTGTGTGAAAGAAGCTTGCCACGTTTCGACACCTTCCATGAACTCTTCATTATTGTTGAAGTGCCATGAACCCAACCAGTTCTTCATGTATGTAAGCAGGTGGTAGTCACAGGATCAGGGCTGTAAGGAGGTCGATCACACAACTCCCAGTTGATATATTCCAGCAGTGCTCTACTGTGAGCAGCTGTGCTCATATGTGGACACACATTGTCATGGATGTCAGCATTCCATGCATTTTGTTGTGAATGGCCTTATGAATTTTGTTTAGTGTTTCATAATACACTTGTGACGTTATTGTGGTCCCCTGTTGCATGAATTCCACCATCAGCACTCCTTTCCTGTCCCAGAAAACAGTGCTGTAAGCTCTCTGGCAGACAGAAATTGTTTAAACTTTTTCGGCTTATTTGGTGAATGTATGTGCATCCACTGCCATTTTTGTATGATGTTATTGAACCTTAAGATTTACTGCCAAAGAAATGGAAACCACCCTACATGGTATTCAATATCATCACATTACTGTGCTGCAGAATTCCTATACTGGTTGGTTGGGGAGAACAGAGAGCCAGAGTTGCCTGGGTTGTCAACTTGTCCTATGAGGCAACATTTGCTGTACAACTGCTTCCATAAAGAAGATGAGGTTAGCCTAGAAACACTGAGGCTCTTTGAGGTAAGATAATACAACATACTTAGGAAGTAAAATAGTGACAGATAGAAAAGCCCTAGAAGAAATGGCAGAAAGAATGAAAAATAGAAACACTTTATCCCTTATTTAGGGATATAGTTTTGGAATGGAAATGCAGTGAAAAGAAGACCCCACAGGAAAATGTGTTTCAGAATCACTTTATGCCCATATTAATGTTAGGGGCTGAAACATGTGCATGGACAAAAGCAGGTATTGTAGACTAACTGGAGCTAAGATGAAATTTCAAGGAAATATGGAAGGGAAAACTGTAGAATAAAAGAACCGCTTTCACAGCAAGCAGAAACATGATGGACTTCCAGTTGCACAAGAAATCAGGTTACAATCATGAACAAAGAACTATTCATACATCAATCAGAAGCTCTATGTTTTGTCTACAAGCACATATCACATGCCCCTACAAGATATGTACCATGAGGAAAGGAACAGCAAACACATCAATGAAAGTAGCAGGAATTTTTTTCTCTTGGACATCACATAAATATAAAGCAAACAGGTAATGCTTCAAATCCTGTTATGATACTAATAGCAAGAGCAATGCTTAGATTCTGAGTAAACAGTAGACATGCTTATAAGGAAGTTTGATATACGAGGGGGGACCCAAAAATAACCGAAAACGACCTGTTGCGTGCGCATGCTTTGTAGTTACGAGTTGTGCTGCTAGGTGGTGTTAGCTGGGGGTCTCCCGCGACTGTTAGTGAGCTGGCGTCAGTCTGAGTTAAGTGGTTTGTCTGTGGTGCTCTGTTGTGTGCGTTCCTGTTTCAGCCCTTTGGCGATTAGTGAGATGGCCGACCAGAAGGAACAAAGAGCGTGCGTGAAATTGATGATGAGCGTCAAAAGACCATTGACCAACTCTCTGAGGAAAAAAACATCTCGTGGAGCACGGTCCAGCGAATTTTAACCGAAGGTTTGCACATGAGACGGATGTCTGCAAAATTTGTTCTTTGCTTGCTCGGAGATGACCAAAGAGAGAACCGCGTGAATGTTTGCCGCGACTTGAAGGGTGAAGTACAGTTTTCCCTAACAGAAAGCAAAATTTCACGCACACTCTTTGTTCCTTCTGGTCGGCCATCTCACTAATCGCCAAAGGGTTGAAACAGGAACGCACACAACAGAGCACCACAGACAAACCACTTAACTCAGACTGACACCAGCTCACTAACAGTCGCGGGAGACCCCCAGCTAACACTACCTAGCAGCACAACTCGTAACTACAAAGCAGGCGCGCGCAACAGGTCGTTTCCGGTTATTTTTGGGTCCCCCTTCGTAGATGCTCTTCTTAGGTCAGTATCGCTCCTGATGTCGGCAGTGTAGGATGGCAAGCCAGTTACTAAGGGATGTTGAGGGTGTTGTTAACCAGTTAATCCTTCAGATTGAGAGTTAACAGTTGGAACATCCACCATTAGCATCATAAGCCTTTCATGGCCTTACAAGAGCCACTTTAGCTGTAATTTCAGGCCTTTACAGGTGTCAGGGATGTAAGTTGCTGCTCTACATAGCACTAACAGGCATTTATCGTGGAGAACCCTAAAGCCAGTGGCTAGCTGAAGAATAAGTTCAAGGAAAAAGAAAGAATTGAGAAGTGCTTTTTGTTTATGCATTATCGTTAGAGATAGTTATGGAATTGTTCTAAGAAAAATATTTATCAAAATGAAGCTAGTAGTATTGAGAAATTTTGTTTGTTGAGGTGCTGCTGCAGAAGCGAAATGAACATGTCCTGCATTGTTTGGTGCTCGTGTACCTGACTTCCCGAAGTTATTATGACAGCTCTGCATCAGACTCTTTAATTGGCTCATGGAGTGATGAAGAAGACGAACGTGAACGACAGAGAGACAGTCCCTGTATGTACCTTTTACTCAATGCTTCAGATATAGTTATTGACGTTTTGGACATATCCCTCATCCTGTGTTTTTTCATTTAGAGACTGGACTCTGTCTCTGCCCTTGGACAAAAAGCTGCTCAATTGGGCCCAATTGATAGAATTATTCCCTATATATGGACCTAAAAAGCTAGTCAGTTGGGCACAATCAATAGAACTAGACACTGTAAAAACAGGAATTGAGATAATGTCCAGAAAGTCAATAATTGTATTAATACACCATCATTACAGGCTTTTAAAGCTTCAGATATTCAGTGTTGATTTTCTGGAGCTGAGTGTATTACTTGAGTTTCGTGACTTAATTTTACTTTTTCAGAATTATCATAGTGGTGACAGAAACTGTTATTAAATATAAGCTGATTGAAGACACTGAGGAAATGAAGTTTACTGTTTCCTCCTAAAGGATGTGTTCAGTTTTCTCATAAGAGCATATTCAGATTAATTTCTGAAGGTGTGTGAATACATAACCCAGTCTCTTTTCAAAGTTTTACGTATTATTATTTTAGTTAAGTTATTTCTGCAAGATGAATTGAGAAGAACATGTACAAGTAACTATTTCGAGCAAGATAGCATTGGAAAGTAGAAAATACGTGGTTCAATCCAAAAGTTCCCGAAATATATTAATAAAAACTATTACGTCTTACCTGGATCTTATTCTGCACTGTCACCTACAAAGTAGCCCCCTTGGGAGCACATACACCGATCCCAGCATTTCTGCCACTCTTGAAATGCATCCTGGAAGTCTTTCTTTGTTAGGGTGTTTAATACCGTCTGTGCTTCCACTTGAATTTTCTCAACCGTATCAAATCTTCGGCTCTTCAACTTGATTTTCATCTTGGGGAAGAGAAAGAAGTCGCATGGAGCTAAGTCTGGCAAGTATGGTAGGTGGGGAACAACTGCTGTCTTGTTTTTAGCCAAAAATTCCTGCACAATGTAAGCCATATGCAGTCGTGTGTTGTCATGGTGGAGTACCCAGTCTTTTTATGCGCCACTTCTCTGGACGTTTTCTCCTCATGTCGTCCCTCAAACGCCTTAGAACATCGCGCTAGACCTCTTTATTGACTGTCTGACCAGGAGGGACGAACTCCTTATGAACAATCCCGTCAATATAAAAAATACATCAACATGGAATGAATGTTGCTCTTGACTTGTTGAGCTTTTTCTGGCCAAGGTGAAGAAGGGCTCTTCCATTGCAACCATTGCTACTTACTCTCAGGGTCATAGCCATAAACCCAACTTTCATCACCAGTGACAACCTTCAAAAGAAAGTTTGGATCCTCTTGAAGCTGTTGTTGAATTTCCCTGCAGACTTCCAAGCGATGCTGCTTCTATTCATTTTGCAGCAGTCGTGGCACAAACTTCGCCGCAATCCTCCGCATGTTCAGTTCCTCTGACAAAATTCGTTGGCATATACCATAACTTAGTCCCAAGGTGTTACAGAGGTCTTGGATGGTCAGTCTGCGATCTTGCAGGATCAGCTCTAACTTTCCTGACATTTTCTGGTGTGGTGGCAGTTGACAGCCGTCCCGAACAATTGTCGTCATCAGTCGATGTTTGGCCATTTTTGAAACGCTTATACCAGTCATAAGTTTTTGTCTGGCTTAACTATTGTCACCAAAAGCTTGCTTCAACATTTGGTGCGTTTCTGCAGCAGTTTTCCAAATTTTAAAGCAAAACTTTATACAGACACGCTGCTCTCTCAGGTCAACCATCGCAAAACCGCAAACTCACGGAAACACAACAATGGAAATATGTTCACCAACAATAAACCCAACCACTCAACTCTACAATTATAGTATTTAGAAGTGACAGTCCTCCGACACAGAGTAGGAGAAGTATTGGTAGTGGCAGGGAGAGATCCAGCATGCTGACAAGTGTGAAGGGGAATGCAGTACAGGCATTCTCAAGAGGAAGTGATTTCTTACCTCATTGTGTTGCATAGTGTTGGTGGTTTAGTCTCGATGATGTTCACACAACCGATGTTAAGTTTTAAGTGCTGAATGGCAGACTGTTATGCACTATACACTATTATACACTTTTCACTGTTACATACATATTACACAGGTCTATTTTAAAGGGGCAACACCGGCAATGTCCGCATAGATATCATCTCCACATGCCTGTCCTTCCTCATCACCACCAGATGAATCAGGGCTATCATCAGAACTGTCATCACTATAACCGCCAACATGGAAGACGAACTCCTGTCCTGCGTCCAAAAGGCCTTCCCGTGCCATTAATTATTGCTCAATGTTCCTTACAATTTGGCACCTACGTTGCCATTCTTCTGCAGTTATGGAAGCCAATTTTTGGTCTGCCAGTTTAATGACATCATCCATCATAAATGTGGTATTGTTTTGAGCAACCCAGTTTTTGTACGGTGACTCATATTAACTCAATTGGATTGAGTTCTGGGTGATATGGAGGAGTCGTAAAATATTGTGATTGTGTTCTGCAAAGATTCCATCTGTTTTATAGGAAAGGTATTTCGGTTTGAGTGGTAGGATCATATTATATATGTCTGGACTCCACAATGATGAAAAATCAGTGATATTGAAGGTAATAGGTGGAAGGTGATATTTTAGCCAGAATATCATAAAATCAAACTTCAGTTTTGAGTTAGGGGCTCTTCAGGGGTTGTCTTTGGTTTTTTGTTCATCTGTATTTCAACATTAATTGGAAGCCGAGCAGTCTGTTATGTTATCACAGCAATTTAAACACCATACTTTCCTGAATAGACTTTTTTACATGTAAATACTTCTCTCAGAGAACTGATTTCACCTTACATTCATGGTTGTTTCGTTATGCACCTGAAACTGAATTGATTGTCCACTAGTATTATGTATAGGCAGTTGTGGAAGGAAACTTTTGGAGAAGAAAAGTGCAGTATATCCTTTAAGAGATGGGCCATTTAAATTCCCGTAATGGCAGCGGGCCAGAGTTACCGTATTTACGCATGTATAGGCTGCAGCACAATTTTCAGACAGAAATTGTAGAAAAAATAATTTTCTTGGAATATTATTTCAGGAGTAGAACACCCTGTATTACTAATTATGAATATAATTTTTTTTAAATGAAGTGTGATTTCGAATATAAGCCGCACCCCAGTTTTCCTGTTGAATTTTTGGCAAAAAATGTGTGGCCTATACATACGTAAATACGGTAATTTAAATGTCCGCCATTGTAGAGTATTAAAAATTGTAAGCATGTTACTGAAAATGCTGCGATGTCTACAATTTTTGTGCTAAACGAACGAAATAAACGCTTTTATTTAGAAAGAATATAGAATCAGATATTGTAATTTACAGATTTTAAAATATTGTAACATGTTTCGTTACTGAAGACGCCGTCGAGATTGTTAATTGGTTTATTCAACAACCTACAAGTAACGGCTACAATTATAACAATGTTGCGGGGTTTCACAATTTATAACCCTATTCGCAAATCAATTCACTCTATTGTTAGTAATCTACATGTTTCACAGTACGGGAGCTATACAAGTGTCGCTGTGTTACACATTCCCAATTAATTCTCAGTTATCACAAACTGTCACTGATTATCACTCGTTCACTGCTGACTGGGGAACTGTCTTCGGCCGCTGATACACTTTAACTCTCTCCGGGGACGGCTACATGTTCAACCCCCTCCGGCGGCTGTGCGGTTCCCTTATATATAGCCGCAGTGCTTGCCTGTTGCATAATGAGTGCCTTGTCACACTAGGAACCGGTGCCACATCGCCGTGTTGCCTGCGTCACAGCTGTGTTGTGTGTTACATCACCGTGCGGTGGGGGGGGGGTGACGGAGCGCTGACTCACCCACCACGTCACTGCTGGGGGGGGTTCTCCATTGCGCAACATGTCACACTGCTCCCTCCTTAAGGCTGTTCATCCCGAATAGCCTAAGGGTGCATCCCCGTTCCTTTTCTTTGGAGGCTGTGCTTTCTGCGTCTCCTGTTTCGGCTACTACTCGCAGCAACATGTCACAATATGTAAAAATTGTTACACTGATTGCAAAAAAAAATTCCCTCAATTTCGTGCGTCAGTCCACAAATATGCATACAGTTTCTGCACTATAAATGCATGCTGCTGACATCCTGTCTTACTATGTTTTATCTGGCAAAAGGGGAGGAAGTTTATGTTTTATTGCACATTCTCCAGTCACGTCGGAACCTTTCTGTATGCACGAGTGTGGGTGAAGTCTTATCGTACTTTGTCCTTCAGAAACTCTGACTGTGTATACCTCGGACTAGCCACACAGAGGTAGTGTTCTCGGAATACCCTTGCACATCCCGCATGCTTCCTTGCCACTTTCAGAGTCATCTCTACCGCATTCTGAATCGGTGTCATTTATCAGCGGCCTCACAATTTCGGCTTCTTCCATGCGAAATGAAGCCATGGTGGATAGTTGAAATTGCGATGTTTTATAAGCGTTATGATTAGAGGAGGCCACTCGACATCACTGGCCGGCTTCCTCTAATATGAGAGTGAGGTGTCGTGTGTGCTCTTCGCGTGGGAAACGGAGTTACATCCGGACAAAGTGCATGAATTGCGATGTCGGACTCTGCATACAGTTAGATGCAACATTCAGTTAGATGACACAGGGAAAACTGTCTACTTATAAAGCGGGTTCCCAAAAATAATGTAAGTAGAACAAGAATTTCTATCTTAAAATTAGATTTTAAAACACTGTGCGCACGTGTGGACTGCGCCTACCCATATGGTGTCACACAGCCACTCGGCTATACTTTAAAGGTCTCCATACGGTGTCGCTAGGCTCTTAGAGGATATTTGATTGTACGTGGTCGATAAATCTGATGTTACTAATAAATTTGGATAGGTTCTTGGAAATTATATAATATTAATTCACGAATGCATTGTTTCAGTACTGGATTTTTCTCCTGGATCATCACCTGTTAGCAGGACTCTTGCCCCAAGCAGTATTAACAAAGTCATAAATAGGTGTGTATGCTAGTTGATGTAAATCAAATAATTCCATTTCACAGACTGCTGTCTGAATTGTGTGTGCAGACATTAGTTTTGACCACTAGCTGTTATAAACGATAATTCTGAGCAGTTGCCTTTTTCTGAGCTTTGAAAGATATCAAAACTTAAGTTAGACTTTAACAATCCTTAACCTACTTCATGGCAATGATATTACCTCCACAACAGGTAACAATGATTATGTAGTAAAAGATGGCACTGTGCAGTTCAGAATGGAGGAACTAGTTGTCTAATTTCATATCTTGTCCACTGTAAATTGTGATAGACCATATGTAACATGTGTTTTATGTTAAACTTAATATGTATTGATTGAAAGATGGATATCCATTCCACAGTGTTGAAGACTATATGGTAATATTATGATGTGGAAGATACAGATTGTGATCTTCCTTATGAAGATGTTGGATAATGGCTAAATTTTTAATAATTTGGCAGGCCCTTCATGTTTGTTTATGGTGGAATTTACAATAAAATGAAGGAATCAGTTAATCAGTTCCAGACTTTCCAGAGGTGGTGCTTCAGGGAAGAGAGAAGTGAACCGTAGGATCTTAGAAAAGCATGACCTTTATTATATTTCTGCATGATCTCAAATCAGCATGAGAAGACCCAAAACTGTATATGTCTCATCCACTGTTATGTCATTGCCTTTTTGGATTTTGGAGTGAAATGTGAATGAAATGACACATTTTGCAGTTTGTTACCATGCATATTTATTGGCCTCAACTTCTGTCAATTGAATAAGAACTATGTCAAGAAGAGCCCGAAACATTTCAACATTGTCCACTTCATTTGGCCTCCTGAGGCTGCACATTAGGGATGGCACATTTTACATCCCCCTTTCCCTTCTGTTCGTTAAATTAAAATTCTGCTGATCTTTTGTTCAGTTCATGACCTTTAATTTATGGTAAACTAAATATGTTATACTGCAGTGTAAATAGAACTGTTTTATGAATTATGTTCGTTTTCATCACTGTCTATAAACTTCATGTTATTAATTGTTACCGTATCTAATTTTTGCAGTTCTGATACCTGTGAATCTAATAATGAGAACCTGTTGTAAGACAACTTTTCTTAATCATGACAGCTTTCTCTTCCTGCTGCCCCAACATTTGCACTCTACAACTGATCCTGATGAAACAGGTTACGAGCAGTATGTGCAGGATGCGGACAGACAGTATCAGGCCTGCACGACACAATGTGCATGCTATGGCTGGCCAAATGAAGCAACCTTTCCTGAGTCAGCGGAATATGATGATTCATGTAGCTCTGATTCACGTCCTGAAGCCGACCATGGTTGTCAGTTCTATGAAGGCCCATTTCTACGAATGATATTCACACGAATTGCACGTTTACCGTACCAGGTGAAGAAAATACTCTAATTTAATTTACTTTCCTTATTTTATAAAGAAAGATAGGCTTATGGTTTTGTCATGTCAGTGCTAGCGTGTGAGCATGCACGTGTGCGTGAACACCAGATGATTTATTCTTATGTAACTTTGCATCAGTATCTTGCCACATTCCATTTTTGCAGCTTCCATCATGACGGTCTTGTCAGTGTTTGGGGTGGAAGGAGCACCACTATCTTGTTATATAGACTTGAAATTTTTTGTGCAGTGAGCTGGAATTTCCAAACATTCTGAGTGATTATTAATTTCTCTCTATGACTATAGTCCATAGTGTTAATTAACCAGTATATTTTAAAAAATTATTCTCTTGTTATTATAAAGTTGGTTGTGCAGAAAGCTTTATTTCGCTTTTGATTTCATGGCAGTAACTAATGGACAGTTGAAACTAGGAATGTGAAATTGAATTGCATCATAAACATATCTTGACATGATGCCTAGGAATGTGGAATCTAGGAGTCATGAGAGTGTTACTGGTGCATCCATTGCTGTGCAGCAGCTTGTTAAAACACATTTCCACAGCAACAAATGTACACACAGCAGTCAGAGGTGATGGTCTCTCATCGGTCTGCAACTTCCCAATGTAAAGCAATGCATTATAGTGAGAGCAACGCCAAGAGAGTGGTCTGAACACTCCAAGTGCCGTCAGACAGTGAAATATGTTCATGATTCCCATGGGGCTCAGAACCAAGAATAACTGTGCTGGCAAGGACCAGGAGAAATTTACCCCACTGACTGAGATAACTGAGCCACTGAGAACAGGACATCACTAGGAGTTCCACTTCTCAGAAACCAAAGCCTGGCAATGTGTCTGTAACAGTAGAACCAGCAAATCAGAGTGATGTAACAGGTTATGAAATGATAATGAATATTTGTGTAATGTGGAAGGTTGCGGGATTGAATCCCGATGAGGTCAATTTTTTTCAGTTGACCTAATCCTTCCAGCCGCACTATGGCCCTGGGGTCGACTCATCCTCTAACAGAAATGAGTACCAGGAATATTCTTGGAAAGTTCTTAAGGGTAAATGGCGGCCAGCATGTAAGGCTGACAACCTCACCGCCAGCTACGAGCCAATTGTCTAGAAAATGTGGGAGCCTCAACATCTCACAACCCTATAGGCCTCCACGGCCTGTTACAGGGATATCTTAAATTTTTTTTTCTTTTACTTATCATTATTCGTAAATAAGATGATTCAGTTGTGCCGTGAATCTCATTATCAGTCCAAACCATGTTTGTAGTCACTGTCATGCAACAGTGTCTACAAATCTTGCATTAAGCATTTTTATTTATTAACAATTAACATAAGTGGCAATGGTGCAGACCTCATAGCTTATTGTAGGTTTAAAGGGGCTGTAAAAGTATTTTGGTTTATGTTTTCACCATTCATTCCTTAGGCAGTTGCAACAATATGGAGAACTGCATTTGTTGCTAACCAGCAGAGATGGGGCAGTCATGTAAATTTATTTATTATTTTAGGGGGGAAGTCATATCACAGAATTTGAGAATCCCCTGCCTTAACAAGTTAGGAAATGTATGCATAGCATAACAGTTCTTATATTTCTGACATGTGCAGTCCATTTTATGTATTTATCATGAAAACTGCAGGACTTACGGAAAAAATATTTTTAGCATATAATCCTTGATTCATTTTCATAAGATAATTAGTTCTTTTTGGCATAAGATAAAATTGCCCCATCAGTGGAAGAAGCCTATTATTGTACTAGTTCACAAGAAGGGCGATAAAATTGACTGTAGTAATTATTGCGGGATATCACTGCTATCAACTTCATACAAAATGTTGTCCAATATTCTTCTCTCTAGGTAAAGTCTGTACATAGATGAAATTATTGGGGATCATCAATGTGGGTTTTGATGTAACAGATAAACTACTGATCTGATTTTTTTCATTTGTCAGATACTGGAGAAAAAATGGGAGTAAGATGAGACAGTACATCATCTATTCATAGACTTCAAGAAAGCCTATGAATCATTTAGGAGGGAAGTATTATACAACATTCTTATAGAATTTGGGGCACCCATTGAAACTAATTAGGCTGATTGAAATGTGTTTAAACAAAACGTATGGTAAAGTCCCTATAGGTAAACTTTTGTCTGATAATTTCCCTATCCAGAATGGTCTAAAACAAGGAGATGCTTTATCACCACTCCTTTTCAATTTTGCTGTAGAATATGCTGTTAGGAAGGCCCAGGAAAACCAGGTGAGACTGAAATTAAATGGACACATCAGCTGTTGGCCTTTGCTGATGTGAAAATACTGGGTGATAATATAGATACCATAAATAGAAACACGCAGACTTAATTGATGCTAGAAAGGAAGTCGGTCTAGAAGTAAACACTAAAAAAACTAAGTATGTGTTGTTGTCTTGTTACCAGAATGCAGGGCAAAATCATGACGTAAAGATAGCCAACAGATGTTTTGAAAGTGTGGCACAGTTCAGATATTTGTGAACGTCGATAACAAATCAAAACCTGATTCAGGAAGATTTTAAGAGGAGATTGAACTTGGATAATGCTTTCTACCAGTTGGTTCAAAACCTTTTGTCTTTTCATCTACTGTCCAAAGACATAAAAATTAGAATATACAAAATCATAATTTTGCCTGTGGTTCCATATGGGTGTGAAACTTGGTCTCTGACGTTAAGGGAGGAACATAGACTGAGGGTGTTGAGGAGAATATTTGGACCGAAGAGAGATGAAGTGACAGGAAGTTGGAGAAAACTGCATAATGAGGAGCTTCATAACTTGAACTCTTCTCCAAGTATAATTGGAATGATCAAGTCAAGGAGGATGAGATGGACAGGGCATGTAGCACGAATGGTGGACAAGGGGAATGCATGTAGGATATTGGTGGGAAAGCCGGAAGGAAGAAGACCACTGGGAAGACCAAGGTGTAGGTGGGGTGGACAATAATAAAATGGATCTTGAAGAGATAGGATGGGATGATATGGATTGGATTGATGTGGCTCAGGATAGGGACCAGTGAAGAGCTCTTGTGAACACAGTAATGAACCTTTGGGTTCCATAAAATGCTGGGAAGTTCTTGAGTAGCTGCACAATTGGCGTCTTCTCAAGAAGGTCCCAGCTGCATGAGCGAGTGAGTGAGAGTGATATACGTGGGTTACTTCAAAAGTCATGGCAACTAATTTTTTTTGGCCAAACACGTTACAGTGAAGAAAGTTAAAAATATACTTATGAAAGGGCATGATATACCCCTCTGATTGGCTTAGTCAGATCAGGTTGATGTGAAGGGGCATAGGTATAGGGGGCAAGAAAAATTGCACATTATGAAATGACTTTTTTTTTATTCTTTAATCCTTGAAAAATTCAATTGTGATTAAGAAATAAAAAAAATGTGATTTAAATCTGAATTCTTACATTATGACTAGCAACCTTCAAAGTAGTCTCCAAGTGTATCAAGTACTCGCTGCCAGCGATGAGGAAGACGGTGAATAGCATCAGCTTCACCATCTCGAAATCTTGTCATCTCACGCCGAACCGCATTGGAAATGTCCTCTCGTGTACGAAAGCGTTTCCCTCACAATGGCTGTTTCAATTTGGGTATTAACACTTTGCGGACCGCCAATTTAAATATTTAAATCACCCTGGGGACCGGCATTTTTAAACCTACTACCCTAACTTGTGCACTGTTCACTTTAAAAATTAATATAAAATCTCATAATTAATTTTATGAACTAAAATTTTTAGAGAACATTTACCAATGCTCCTAGAAGTGCTTGAGAGTGTGATATTCCTGGAAACATTCCCCTTTGTGAAGTGGCATTACACAGAACTTGCAAATGTAGGCAGTCATGCTCGTTTTTCTGTGAACTGTGCAAACACGACATTGCCTAGAAGGATGCTTCCCCTTGGAATGTTCACTCTTCACAATTTTCACGAGCATATATTTCCGCATATCACCTGAGAGTCGCCCAGGGGGGTCCACATGAGGCCTGAGAGGGGTTGGAGTTGATGGTCTCGGTCCCACTAAGTCTCTGTCTGACTCTCGTTCTGCCGCCACCATCTGGTATGTAGCCCAGGCCTTTGCCACATTCATCAGAAATGCTTTGTATTTCAATTTTGAATTGGGGTTTAGATTTTTGTAAACCAAAAATGAATTGAAAATGTCACAATTTATAAGTCACAAGGCAACTTTCTTTGTCCACTTTATTGTTTATATAGGAAGAGAATAATTGGCCAAGTATTGATTTTCTCTGTCAACTCCCTTCATGAACATATTATACTCAGAAATACAAATAGGCTTCTTTACTTGTCCATGTCTCTTTTGAACATGAACCGTGCTTGAATTGTGAATTGTGGAAATCATATTCACAACACGAGTATCTCTATCTCTAAAAACAGTTCTGCTACTTCAGACACTTGCGTTGTTTGGAATTTGTTTCACCCCTGGATTTCCAGTGAACTGTCCCAAAGTAGGCATTTTGCCCCATGTAGCTGTACCTGCAATTTTACTACCTGCACTTTCGTCGGAGCTACTTTCACTTTTATTGTCTGTGGCTACACTTGTTTGTTGACCCCTGTCACTGCCACTGTCTCAGTTTCACTACTCCTCTCACAAGGAACGTCAAATAGCTCATCGGAGAACGAGTAAGATATTTCTTTTTCTCCGAGATATCGCTTCGTCTTCAACCGCTTCTGTCCTTGATTCATATTGCACTAACATCCTGCCTGGTACATAACAGCTTGAAGGGTCAAAGATTATTTTCCTTTGGAGGGAGAACCAAAACAGCACGGTCAAGTTACTACCTACTAGGCAAACATTCCGGAGTAATATTACGCAGTAGTCATTCATTTGGGTAGCGCCAGAGAGATGTATAGTGTGTTGCAACTTATTGTGTTCTAAAAGCCAGTTAACAGGCGAACGGTCCACTATGTTTAAAAGCAAAAAACCTTTTAAAGGGTGCATGGTCCGCAAAGTGTTAAGTCATAGTTACATGGCGAAAGGTCAGGTGAACATGGAGGATGGTGTAGTACTTCCCATCCCCAGCGTCATAAACGGTTATGGACACTATTTGCTGTGTGGGCGGTTGCATTGTCATGAAGGACAAAGGTTATGATCACACTGACTTCGCGCTGGACTCGCTTAATTGTCCTTGGACTTATGCATCATCTCGCAGCATCATTAGAAATCAGACGTTGCTGTCTCTCAGTGGCAAATTTGGAAATTTCAGAAAAATTATGTTTCCATGACTTTTGAAATAACCTACTCATCTTTAATTGTTAGCACCTTACACGAAAGACATGAGAGATCTCCGATCTGTTTGTAGGCCTGGCTCAATATGTTACATTCACTGGATAGTAATGGAGGAATGGGAAGAGCTCAAACTCTGCATTCTGCCTGCTTCATTCCTGTCTTTCCTTGGCTTATCCTTTAGCTCTGAAGGTGGAGAGGATATATCCCTCCGAAACATCAGTTGACGTTCACAGAAGACAGAAGTCTTAAAAAGATGTGTGTTCTCGTCATTGCCCATCCAGCGCTCAGATTAATCCAGTAGTACTTTCTTACTAATTTTATGGCCATATGGGTGTGAAATGTTGCTGATTATATAAATGGAAAGCTCTGTGTACTGTAAGTGAAGTAGTATTTTTATTTGTTCTTTGAACAGAGTGCAAGAAATGGATGTGTGTGTGTGAGGTCATATCCTCCTGTTTGCTGTGTCATGACTGAGCAAGTTGATTTATCAGTAATATTGTATCCAGGGGTTGCTTGGTTTAAATCTCAGCTGGAACACTGGCAATCGTGACTGCAGTTCTGCATGGCTTTTCTCAGCCCCCTCCAGACAAATATTGGGATAGTGCCTTGATTAGGCCATAATCAACTGCTTCCTTCTGAATTTTTCTAGTTCATTATTCACCAGTCATCCTACAATTCAACACTATATAGTGTGAGATACTGACTTATCATAAAATAAACCCCAAAAAATACATATTTCATCTCTGTTTGGTGCTGGGAGTCTGCAGTAAACTTAAGTGAATTCTGTTTAGTTTGTGTCCATTGTAATCCCCATACTGTGTGTGAAGTTGAAGTAAGGCATTTATCAGTTTTCTCAGAAATATCTCAATGTAAGAAAAATTGATAGATGGCAAAATATGTAGCCTGTTAAGCTCTAAAGATCTACAGCTATTTTAAACATTTTCCAGTATAGTGAATGTTGAACAAAATACATACACAGTAATTTTTGTCTCTTTGCTGTAACTAATGTCCATGAAATGGCAAAGAATAAGTTTATATGTACTTTCCACTCTTGTTTAAATAGAAATATTCGCAGATGTAGCCAAAACAGTATATATTTTTAATGCATAGTGTGTAATGGGTTGGTTCTATATGGGTGTGGAACTTGGTCTCCGACATTAATGGAGGAACATAGACTGAGGGGTGTTTGAGAACAGGGTGTTGAAGGGAATATTTGGACCGAAGAGAGATGAAGTGACAGGAAGTTGGAGAAAACTGCACAGTGAGGAGCTTCATAACTTGTACTCTTCTCCAAGTATAATTAGAATGATCAAGTCAAGGAGGATGAGGTGGGCAGGTCATGTAGCGCAAATGGGGGAGACGAGGAATGCATATAAGGTATTCGTGGGAAAGCCGGAAGGAAAGAGATCTCGGGGAAGACCAAGGCGTAGGTGGGTGGACAATATTAGAATGGATCTTAGAGAGATATGATGGGATGGTATGGATTGTATAGATCTGGCTCAGGATAGGGACCAGTGGAGGGCTCTTGTGAACACGGTAATGAAACTTTTGGTTCCATAAAATGCTGGGAAATTCTTGAGTAGCTGCAGAATTGGCAGCTCCTCCAGAAGGGCTCAGCTCCATGAGTAAGTAAGTATGTAATGGGTATCATTTTCTGCATTTCTCATGATTCCAGTAGAATAGAACTTGACAAGGCTGTACATATCATGAGTGATCTAACAATTGTTAGAGTGTGTGGATTGATCTCCACATAGTCTAGGGATGATTGCATAGAAAGTATGTGCCATTTTAATTGGTAACTAAACAAATTCCATGGTATATGTTCTTAATTGGGCAGTTGATATTTCTTCACCTGCTCAAGAAATTATTTGCCTTTGAATCCAAAATTCAGACTATCATCACAAAAGCCCATTATTGAATTTTGTCCACTTCTCATTTTCACATCGTATTTCTTCATGATCTGCTTTGATATTATGCTACAGTTAATGCCCATGTCTCCTGATTCATCTTTTCTCTTGATTTAAATTCATTTGTTAATTCACTCCTACCATAATACAAATTTTTCATCTCTCAACCTTCACCTGAAAATACTGAATAGAGAGAGTACATTGTGGTGTTCTGTTAATGTAATCTTCACTTTTTGTTACAGCCTTATGAAATCAATCTCCAGCTGACAGGACTGGTTTCTCACCTTGCCATGTTACCTCATCCATATCTCCATGAATATCTGTTGAACCCCTTACTGCCATTGCGTAGTGAGGCCAACTCCCTCTTTTCCATACTTCAACTGGTAGCAGGTGAGCTGATGAGCCAGATTCCTGCAATGAAAAATTACAAACATCTGTTGTATGTGACCAGACAAAAATTGCTGGGTGATGGAAGTGATATTCAGTAAGTACTCTGTAAGCTTTAGCTGTCCACTGTGGCAACATTTATTATTGAAAATGAACAATTATCATTTCGAATTCTTCAGTCTTCCTTTCAGTGGTTCAGAGTAATGTTAAATCCCCTAATACAGGTTACTGGCCTGTCATTGAGTACTCCCATAAACTGGATTATTATTCTGAACCTCCAAATGGGTATCCTGAAACTTATAACTCTAAGAAACAATACAGCTGTTAGTAAACATTTTGTTTGCTGGGGGTTGTGGTTGTGGTGATAAAAATTAAAAAACACTATAAAATGGCAATTTTCCAGTTGCCATAATACAAGGTGGTTCAAATATGACTGGGACTGATTTTTTTTTAAACCAAAATTGCCAAACACTTACTTGCACATGTCAGTCTTCAAAATACTCCCCCCGGAGTCAGCACATTTTTTCCAACGTTCTGGAAGCATCCTGATGCCCTTTTCAAAAAAGTTTTGTGGTTTGCAGCATATCCACTCCCGAACATTCTGGATGACTGCGTCGTCCACAAACCGCATGCCTTGCAAGTCTGATTTGAGCCTTCCGAACAGGTAGAAATCACTTGGTGCCAAACTGGGACTGTACGGCGGATGTGTCAGAAGGTTCAATTTCAATTTCTGGAGGGTTTCCATTGTTTTGGCCATATGGGGGTGTGCACTGTCTTGAAGGAAGGCTACGCGCTTTCCACATGTCTTCTGCTTGGATCAGATCTTTTCCTTCATGTCTGTTGCCAGGAGGTCTGAGTAATAAGCTGCATTGACTGTTCTGGCATCTGTCAGAAAGTCTACATGGATAACCCCCCTGCCAGTCCCAGAAGAACATTGCCATCACTTTTTCTGCTGAACCGCTCCTCAGCGCTCTCATGGGTTTGGGAAAACTGGTATGCCGCCACTCGCATGGTGACTGCTGGGACTCAATAATGAAGTAGTGCACTCACGTTTCATCGGTGGTCACTGTATACTTAAAGAGTGCATCACCATCATCTTCAAACTGCTGCAGAATATGACTGGCAGCTTGCATGCGTACCATTTTGTTCACGTCCATCAAAGTGCATGGTACCCACCGTGCATTCACCTTGCGATAGTGCAGGTGGCATTTCACTATGTCTTCTACACTACCAACATTGATGGACAGCATTGCTCCAAGTTCCTTGATAGTGATGCGCCTGTTCTCACGAATAAGCGTGTCTGCATGATCAGTGTTTGGCTAGGTGACAGGTGTTCGCTGCCAATGATTGCGGTTCATTCTCCACGCGCTCTCTACCCTATCTGAAGCACTTGCACCACTCAAACACACGGTTCTGTGAGAGACACTCTTCCCCATGCTGTTGTTGGAGTCTAGTGAATTTCAGCGGACGGGACGTTTTCTCCGAGGAATTTGATCACAATGCATTGTTCCACGCTCCGTGGTACCTTCTGTTCGCTCATAATCTAGCAGCTCCCAGACAGGACCGAACAGGAGGGAGGGTGGAGGTTGTGGCTTCACTCTCTCAAGGTCACACAGCTGCTGTGCAGTGTGGCTTGTTTACACACAAATCAGTCGCGGTCATATTTGAACCACCTGGTATAAATGTAAAACTAGAATTGTGAACTGAATAAATTAAGCCACAGTCTACAGACTACTGGTAGAAAAATACTGAGAATTAGAGGGTTTTTGGTCTTTGTCTGTCATCAAGTATTATAAGAAACAAAGGAACGCCTACTCTTTTGGTTTCGTAAGAAAGAGCTGACCTTCGTTACTGGACAGCCTATGTCAGTGTAACTGTAGCTGTATAAACATGTGAGATTAGGCTTTTATGAAACACTTCATGTATGAGATATACACAGAGCCTAGAGGCTTTTCCTCTTTGTTTGTAGGACTGCTACCCTTGGAATTAATACCCAAGTCAGTGAAACTGTAGGGATAACCTTTGAGCTGAAGGTCACATCTCAGGTTACTAATTTTGTTAAACAAATTTTGTCATGATCTTCAACCCAGTGATTATTCCCAAAGGGTTCATTGATTCGGTTATTAATTTCAAGGGTAGTAGTCATCTGAATAAAGAGAAAAAGGCTCTGGGCTCTGTGTATATCCCAGGTGTGTAAGGTATTTCAGGAAGTTTAAAGTTATAGGGAATCAACATTAGGAACATCTTCAAAACTATAAATGCACACTCAGAAGTTCACTTATGAAAACCAGGCTGGAGAGAGGTCCAAAACAGTTTGCACATTTTGTCTGTAGTAATAATAATATTGGATGGGGCAGAAGCTGAATGGCAAAACTGGCAGACCTATAGCTGTGCAGCTCCCTCAACATAGGCATAATCTCAAAAAGAGTCTTCTAGAAAAATTAAAATTAGCCCAACATTCATATGAATAGGGTTATAAGGTAGGCTGGGATGAAGAATTTGGAGAATTAAAAATAAGAGCAGGTATAGGTAATACCAGGAATTATCCCATATGGCATGTTTAACCAATCTGATGAGTGAATCCAGTTTGAACATTTCTCCCATTTGGATACACCTTGTCAGCAGTGGGGTTCACAGCTCACACCGAAGGTCAGTGTGATCTGATAGATTCTTCATAGGTATCTATATTATTTTAGTTCCAGGATTCAGTTTTTATTACACATATAGCACTAGCAGCAGGCAAAGAATGGTTATGTAGTATGAAATTCTGTCAGTCCTATGCAGTGGTTTTCATGGACTTTATTGGTTAGGTTTTAGCATAAAATTTCCACATTCTTTTCTCTTTTATTTTCAGGTCTTTGAATGCTTTTATCACAATTTTTATTATATATTTTCACGTTATTTCCCATTGACAAAGCCTCATCTCAGGTATTTATATAGCTGTAGTTATACTGAGAGTGTCCAGTGATTGAGGTTAGCTCTTTGTAACTGAACCAACAGACTAGATGTCTCCCACCCCTCGCCTCAGGATGGAAACAAGACCAGTTTCTGGAATGTCGCGTTCTTTCATGTTTCTTATAATACCAAACAATGGACAAAGTCCAGAACCCAGTAATCCTGAGTGTTAATCACCATTGTAAGAACCCTTTAGAATCTATCAAGAAAACACTGGTCTGTGAGATGAAATCCTTTGGCACCCTATAGTGCATTGGCCATATTCGAATGCTTTTAAAACCATATATTTTATCTTCCAATTCACACATGTTTTCTCCCCAGATTTAATGATCAGAGACTTTGGTGTATGAATTGCAGGAGGAGTTACAAAACTGGTAAATTTGAAACATTTCCTCTATGAAACTGGCAGACCCTACAGGAAGTTTAGTTACAAGAAAAATGCCTTAAGAAGAGTCTTATCTTTTGGCATATAACACCATGCAGTCCATTAACTTTGAATGGACTGCACGTAATTATTTCCCAAAAGACATAACTCTACATAATCACTGATGTAAGAACCTCAAATCCTACAAAATACCGTAACTTTCTCACATAAATTGTTTGTACATTTATTAACATAATTTTATATTATGCTGTGTGTGGGTGTGACAGCATATTGTCTATCACATGACCATAAGTTCACACCACAGATCAAGTGTTATGTAGATACAACAGCGAACAGTTCTTGCCACACCACAGTATGTGATGTATTCCATTCATTCACCCTGTCAACGTGCACCATATTCTGTATCTACCATTAATCTGTTCATCCTTTATACATCTAGAAGATGGCGGACATGATAGTTGAATGTGAGCAGTATTGGGAAGAAAATAATTTGAAATTGAGACATTCCCATGATTCATGTGCTCAAATTGTAAATAGTAATCATTGTTATAAATGCGTAAGCTGTGAAGTGATCAAAAATTTGAGAAAAGATCTAGAAGAGTTTGGCAATCTACAAGAATTAGTGAGCCGTCAAGCGGTGAAAGATGCTATACAAGTTGACCATGAAAACGAGGTTAATTGGTGTAGAGTAACTAAGGGTTGAAGAAGACCAGTTTTAGTAAATTCTCAACAAGAGCTGCTGATATTAAATAACCAATTTCAACCACTTTGTAACCTCAATCTTGATGAATCTGCTGGAAGATCTCAAATGCTGGAACAGAAAACCTTAAGATGTGATAAAACCATAATAGTGAAAAGGGCAAGAAAGAAGAGAATTTTAATAGTTGGTGATAGTCATGTCAAAGGAATGGTGAGAGAAATACAACATAACTTGAAGAAGGGTTATGTAGTTCAAGGAATAGTGAAATCAGGGGCTGATATGGAAGTGATTCTTAGTTCTAATGCGAATGAAATTAGAAACCTAACGAAAGATGATTTTTTAATTATTTGGGGAGGTGTAAAAGAAGTATGTAGAAATGAAACCCAAAAATGCATTAAGCAAGTTAGTAAATTTTGTCCAAAGTAATTTAAATATGAATGTAATAGTTCTCAGTTTACCCAAAAGATGAGATTGGGTGGATCAGTCATGTGTGAATAAGGATTTTAATAGTTACAATAGAAGGCTGGGTAAGCATTTGAAAGTGTTAGACCATGTGCCTTATATAGTGATTAATTATGATAGAAAATTTCGTACAAGCCATTGCATGCACCAGAACACAGAAGGTAAGGAGTATGTAGCTAAACAGTTACTTTCTTTCATGATACGAAACTACATAAAGAAGACCTGGCAGTCGTATCTTTAGACTGGGATAATGTTAAGATGAATGATAAAGTTGTGGAAAATGAAAAAAAGAAAAGTGATGAAAGCTGTAAGTTTGAAGAAGTTCAGGGAACTTTATTAGAGGAGGTAGTTAAACTCAATGAACGAATGATCTCCCTGGTGCTGGGTAAGAGAGTTAGAAGATGACCAGTAAATATGGGTGATGATTTTTTATGGTAATACCTCAAAACGTATTGAATTTGAAGACCTCATGCAGTAGTAGTGACCTTAGTCAAGCACCAAAGATTAAACTTAAGGATACTAAGATAAGCTCTTTTAATTTATTTCACCAAAATATTAGAGATCTACAACATACAATTGATGAACTGATTTGTACGTTAATTAGTCATGACTTAAGCACGCATGTAATTTGTATAACTGAACATTACTTAACTGAGCAGAAACTTTTATTGATCAAACCAGAAAATTCTCACGATCATTAAGTAATGGTGGAGGTGTTTGTATATACTCTAAATTGGGTATGGACTGGAATCCAATTGATATAACACAATGTTGCATGGAAAAGGTGATTGAGGCCTGTGCAGTCCGATTAAATATTGGTAATAGTTATTTTATAATACTATGTATTTACAGATCTCCTTGTGGAAATGTAGAGGAATTTATTAAGCAATTCGAACTAATACTGAAATATGTTTACAAGCCTAAACTTGAATTAATAATATGTGGAGACTTTAATGTAAATTTTTTAGAGATTACAAGTAAATCTCTTCAGCTTATTTCACTATTTCAGATGTACAACTTGTTTTGGGTTGTCGAATTTCCAACTAGGATTACAACTGATACCAGTACTGCTATTGATAGTATATTTTTGGATTACAGCAGATTAAATACTTTACAGGTGTACTCAGTAATCAGTGGGCTTTCAGATCACGATGCTCAGTATTTGACTGTTAATAGTGTTGTTAACTGCCAAAGGAATAAGAGTGGATTAGTTAAAAGAGGAGTTATATCTGAGTCTGGCATCATAACTTTAGCGAAATGTTGAGTAGGGAAACCTGGGAAAGTGTTTTGAGTAATCTTGATGTTAACAAAAGTTTTAATCTATTTTTAGTATCTTTTTAATGATTTTTGAAACATTTTTTCATGCGAAATTTGTCAAAAATAGTGTGTGCTCTAACCAGTGGATCACGGAATTAAAATTTCATGTAAGCGAAAAAAGTATTTGTATTTGATGATAGATCTACTAATTACCCAGGCTTAAAGGAGTATTATACTCAATATTGTACGTTGCTGAGAAAAGTTATCAGAAGAGCTAAAGCTGTATATTATGAGGGAATAATAATGGCTGCATCTAATAAGTCCAAGGAGTCCTGGAAAATCATAAAGAGAGAAAATGGCAGAGAGTCGATGAAAAAACATTCATATTCAGAATTGAGAGAAGGTAATCTAATAATCGATAGTAGGAATGAAGCTAAGGCATTTAACTCATATTTTTTTAGTTCAGTTAACAAATTTGTTGGTCAGAGTTCTAATATATGTTTTTTACCACTTTCATGTGAATACTCTACAGATAAGATTTCTGAAATTGTAAATATTCCAGTTACTGAGGCAGAAGTATTAAGCACGATAAATTCATTAAAAAAATAAATCATCTTGTGGATATGATGGGTTGTCAAATAAAATTATTAAATTATATGGTGAACAGATAGCAAAATCGCTTACTTATATTTATAATCTTTCTGTAAGTTCGGGCAAATTGTCCTGACCAATTGAAATATGCAAATATTATACCATGTTTTAAGAAGGGTGATGTTACTGAAATTGCCAACTATAGACAGATATCTTTATTGACAAGTTTCTCTAAATTATTTAAATATTAGCGTTTAGCAGGCTTAAACAGCATTTTATAAGAACTGATATCCTGGCTCCTGAGCAGTATGGCTTTCGTAAGGATGTTTCTGCACAAACTGCCATCTTTAATCTAACTGATACTGTTCTTAAAGCATGGAACAATAAGTAGTTTGTGGTAGGTATTTTTTTGTGATTTGACAAAGGCCTTTGATTGTGTCAGTCATGATCTGTTGATTCAAAAGTTGAAGAGGTATAAAGTCAAAGGGCCTATTTTGAAATGGTTGGAGACTTATTTAAAAAATAGAATGCAAAGAGTTGTGCTGTATACTTGTAATTCAACTACTACAATCTCTGAATGGAAATCTGTAAGGTTTGGTGTTCTACAGGGATCTGTCCTGGGACCAATGTTGTTTAATGTTTATACAGCACGTATTATTTTGTATGCAGATGACACAACAATTTTAATTACCTCAAATGACCTAAACTCTTTGAATATTAAATTAAATAGATTTATAACTAGGATTTCAAGCTGGTTTCGAAATAACAATCTGGTACTTAATTTGAGTAAAACTTGCCTGATTAAATTTGTGACTCCTAAGTCTCCAGAGTATACATTATCGGTAACATATAATAATTTTAGGCTTAAAGATGTTGATAATGTTAATTTTTTAGGTATGTATTTAGAGTGTCAACTTAATTGGGAAAAACAATCTGAAAAATTATTAAAGAAACTGAATACAGCGTGTTTTATGCTCAGGAAGTTACAATCCCTTGTCAGTGAACAAGCTCTTCGAATGGTCTATTTTTCTTATTATCAGTCTCAGCTTGAATATAGTATTATATTCTGGGGTTCTTCTCCAGTTATGAAAAGTGTATTTGTTGCCCAAAAAAGAGTGATTAGGGTTATACTGAGATTGAGTCCTGGAAACTCATGTAGAGAAGATTTTAAGAAGTTTGGTATTTTGACGGTTCCTAGCCTATATATCTATTCTGTATTGATGTTTGTTGTTAGAAATCGCAGTTTTTTTCAAACCAACAATAATATTCATCATATAAACACTAAACAGTTTGGAAAGCTACATGTGTCATCAGTGAGATTATCTTCAATCGTGTTATATTCATCCATTATGGTTTATAATAATCTTCCCCAAAATATACAAAGGATGAGTGATAATGTGAAGATTTTTAAACACACACTGAAAAGTTTCCTCACAACAAATTTTTTTTTAGAGATGAATATATTTCTGCTAAGCATATATAACATTTAATAAATATATTCCTTGTAATTTTGTTTATGAATGACAGTGTAAATTATGGTTATTTGGTGCTTTTGGTTGTGTGTGGTTGTTTGCTGTTGACACGATTGTACTTCTGCAATCAAGTCTTATTTTGACGAGTTCAGTATCCAGTCCAGTTCAGGCAGCAGATCAGTGAATTTATGAATTATGTATGTATGTATCCTTTGATGAAGAAATGTATTAATTCATCCTTTATATGTACAAATGGAATACATGGGATATATGTAAGTAATTTTTTACTTTCTGATGTTCTTGCTATATAAGAGGTCATTATGTTTGTGAAAAATAGTGATCTCAAGGGTTTGATGAATTTACACATTTTTAGACCCATGAATAGGAAAAGTGGTTTTTGGAAGCCTGCCTGTCTCTGTGCCTTACTAGCACCTGTGCATTGGGACAGATTTTATTCATGTTCGGCATTTTAGAGTTTATCCACCATACATTGGTGCCCAGTGAATATGAACATTGTAGCTCCAAAAACAGAGGCCCCAAGAAATAAATTCATGATTTTCATGGAAAGTGTTCAGATTATTCCGAATAAATATATTGAGACCATCTCTGTAAATAGAACTGCATATGTGGTATCTGGCCTATGTGAGAAAGTATATGCAAAATCTTTGCTCTGATTTTTACTTTGTTTCATGACCAAAAATGAGGGTACCTGAATTTCACAATGGTGTGAATTATGCCATAAAATACAGTAATTGTTTCTACAGATTCAGTCTCCTGGTGGTAATGTGTTGGTTTATTTGCTTAGGGAGGAAGAGAATAGTCTTCTTGAAAGTATGGTGGTATTGGAAGAATTCTGCAAGGAACTGGCAGCCATTGCCTTTGTCAAGTACCATCATTCGTCTTGAAGATGAAGCACTTCCCTGACTGCCAACAGCAACAGCATTTTTTCCTGTAAGGGAAACAACCTCAGGATTTTCATTTGAATAAATGAAAAGGCCTTTCAGAGAGAGCTAGTCAGTCATTTCATGCTGGCTTAGAGCCATCAGTGATCATTTGAATTCTGAAGTATTGTACAAGTACCAGCCATATATTGATATTCAGGACTTAAACTACTGAAGTGCAGCAAGTATAACATCACAGAATACCTTTTGTATATTTCAACTTCCTATTTCCGTAAGTTTGATCTATAGCAGCTGTTGCTTCTAAAGAATCTTAACTGCAAGGAAACTTATTTCCCCATTGAAGTTTTTACAGCTTGTTTGTAGAAAATATATATCAGAGCTTACCTGGAGAGTTATGCCGGTGGTAGTTTAACTACCAGTAGGGTCACCCATGACAAAGGTCAAAGGGTAGAGTCCAGACTAAGAGAGATACCCTGGTCCTACAGGTTGCAGGTTGGGCATGAGGGTTACAACCTCAGCCTGTAAAAAGAATTTTGTTCAGAAACCTAACAACCAGCCTCAGTAAATCATATATGGATCCATTTCCTATGGCAGCACACACTTGTTGTGGAGACTGGTTGTAGAGGAGGCCAAGGCTCACCCAGGGCTGTAGCGTCGAGTGGTAGGTAGTTATATATCACAGCTTGAAACTACACTCAAGTCTGCTTTTGAAGAAATTAAAGGGTTTTTAATTATCCTGTTCTGTATGGAATATATTTGAACCACCAGTTCTGGGTGCCATTTTCAGTGGTTGAGTTCTGAACCACCAGTTCCGAGTGCCGTGTTCAGTGGTTCAGGCATAGGCACTCTGCTTCACATTTGGGAGGTCCCATGTTGAATTCCAAGCCAAGAGACCTGCTTGCCTTGGTTACTGTTTTTTAATAGTTTTCTGCAGTTCTCCAGAAAACCTGGGATAGTACTTTAAAGTAGGCCATACCACTTCCTTCCACATCCATTTTATTTCATCTTTCACATTCTTCCTCCCATTTGATAACGTACAGTATTGCCCAGAATAAACTGCACCAAATTTATTTATTTATTGTATTTTTATATGTTCACATATGTATGGAAACATGGAATTATGCGAACATATACTCAAGAATAGCTCTTGAATATCCCCCCTCCCCTGAACAGATTTTCAAGTAGTCTCTGAATTGTTTTTTCTGTTCTTTCCCTCAGAACCTGACGGATGTTTTCTTTCAGTTGTCACAAAGAACAGGGTTCAGTACTCTTGGCTTGGTTATTCCCCGTAAGAGTGTCATGGGAGGTGTTAGTTCAGGTTTATTGGCTTAGAAAGGATAGTCAGTCTCTCCGGGGGAAAAAAGCTGTGTGAAATGCAGCTGGAGAAGCTGCAACATTTGTTGAGCAATATATGATGTCTTGTTATCTTGCAGAGACTTATTTCTGAAACAGCATACTTCTAACACACCACATATCATGAAGAAGAGGTACAGTTATTCGTTGTTGATATCTGTTCTGATTAACTGTCACATTTGTACCATGATCATCATTGTTGAAATAAGAACTAATGGCAAACCACATGATAAGTCGTTTTTTTTATTGCTAGTGGGGTTGGACTAAGTTCCTTGTACTGCAGCCACTTCTGGCCTATTGTACCAGCCCCAGATGGTAGGTGAGGGTGATTGTGGAGCAGTTGGTGGACTGAAGATTGGCAGGGGAAACCGAAGTACTCGGAGAAAACTTGCCCCATGTCCACCACAGATCCCACTTGACCAGACCCAGGATCGAACCTGGGCCGTCTCGGTGGGAAGCCAGCGACTAACCGCTTGAGCTACTTCACAGCCACTCTCCTTATTGGGGATGTTCAGTAAACTAGTAAAGTTATTACAGACCCAGGAACCACATTATTTACATGTTTGCAGATAGTATGATGTGTGTCATTCATCAGAATATGAGGTATTGGGCAGAAAGTATTATCATCGTTTCAGATGTCTGCAAGAGTGTGACCAAAGGTCACATGCCTTTATACCATATAAGATGCTCATAATTGGTGGATAGTCAGTCTTCAATAAGAATATATACCAAATTAATGAGATGTTCCCCGTATTAATGTCTTCTTCAGTTCTAGTTCACTAGAAATCTGGTGGGTTTCCATGGGCTGCAAGATTCTGATGGGCACTTTTTGCCTGAACTCATTGTCTGTGAAGTTTATTTCCTTTCACCAAAAACTTTGCACTGCAATAAAACAGATCACTCTTCATGAACTTTCTCACTACTAACAAGGTGCATATTAATGGTGGTTGATTATTGAAATGCTCTCATATCTGATCTGATACCATTTTCACACCTAGCCCTCTTTCTTATCCATTTCCACACTTGTGATGGCTCTCATGATACAAATCTGTCTCCCATCAAAATCCACTTTCAGTAATGTTTCCAACATTTAATAAATTAGATGTTGGACCTTACTGTAGTTAATATCTCTTTGTGTGTATGAACTGTAGCTTTCCAAACCTTCAGACTTCCATTTTTATAACCTTTAGGTGTATATCTTTCCCTGTGTATGAAATCTGCCTTTCATTCGTACCCTGTTCCAATCCCACAAGTCTTTTTTGCGGTCAGATTCAACAAAATTATGTATAAATGGTATTTTGTTGAAATACTTGATATTTGAGAATATGTCATGCTTCTGATTTTTTTGCACTTATTCTGTGAAGTGGCAAGAGTGGTCTTTTGTCAATATCTTGCCCTTTACTTGCTGTGCATTGCATTATTGCAGTGGCACGTGTGTGGTCCGCCTTGCTGTGAGATGTATTCTTTCAATACTGTCATTATTATTCCAAAGTTAAACTGTGGTTACCACCTTTGTACTACCATGTGGTTTAATATACACTGATTCCAGACAATATAAGTTAAACAACTTGCACATTTTTTCAGATCCACACATGATAGAAGCAGTCCTTAAGTACTATGTTGAGGCAGAATTCTAGAGTTTTTAATGCTGATGTTAATATTTCTGATAAAGCAACTTCCCACATTTATGGTGAAGTCAGCCAACATACTTAGCACATTTGGGGAACAGAAAAAGTCAGACATTCTGGCAACATGAAACAAATTCCCAAGGTATAAAATTTTTGTGCACTCCAATGATGTCATACATTATTATTGTTTTGTAAAGATTTAGCAGTTAATGGGGAATTTTACCTTTCAGTGTTGCAGAAATTTGTTATCTTTGAGCTGCAATGATTAGTATCCTATGGATAACACTTGCTTCCACGAAAATGGCACTCCCTCCCAGTATACTACATATTTATGACAATTCTTCAGTGATGTGATCCCAGACAAGTGGATTGGTAGACCAATTGCTTGGTCACCTCATTCACCTAACGTATCTCCCATTATACTTCTTTTAATGGGGCCACATTCAAGTTGTTTACTAATCAAAATCACGTTCTTTGAATTAACTTAGGGTCAGGATTGGAATTGCAGTTTATGAAATCACTATGCTGTAAATGGAAAAATTTTTTGGCATCACAAAATATGTCAGTTACATTGAAGCAAATTTATTTTGATTGTATTGTGTTAGGAACTTACTTCCATTTACAGGTTTGCCTCTTATCATATGTGGATCCAGAATTATTAAACTTGTAAAGTTGCATAATGATTATAAACACCCCTATTTATAAAAAAAGTACAGCGAAGTTTTCCAGTGTCTTTAGTAACCCCTTTCTATAATGTAAGTGTTGCATTTTGTTAAAAGTTTAATATATTTTTTATTGTCAAGATTTTGGTTAAATATTGCAGTTGCAGTCTTTGTGAGATAAAAGGAATATGTTCCTGAGCTTTCTAAATGCTGAATTTTAGTTGTGTTCAGCAGCCTGTTGGATCATATTTTATAGCTGCCATGAAAATTCCTGCTTCAGAAGTCTGTGTCATGCTTGAAAGGTTCAAGATCATGCGGGGCTGTGCCATAGCTTAGACACACACTGGCTTGTTACCATGGAGGCTGCAGTTCAATCCCGAATGCCTTTGTGTGAAATTTGTGATAGATGAAGTTACACTGGAGCAAGTTTTTCTCATAGTTTCTTCAGTTTTGTCGTGGTAAAAATCATTCTACCATTGCTCCGTACCTATCAACCACTGCCACCTGAGATGTGTGATAGACCTGAGCAGGCAGCACATTATCACACCCTTGGTGTTAAAGTTTGGGGCCTCACTCCTGACTCAACACTTGGCAGCAGTTTACAGTGAAAGGAGGTTAGTAAGATCATGTGAATAATCTCCAGTGATTCGCCATTTCCTTTCAGAGACTGTTAAATGCAGTCCTAAGAAAGACTGGGCTTTTTTAAAGATATGTATTCTCAGGTTTCATTTTATAAATTTGTAGGTAGAGAAGACTGCTAACATGCAATAACTGTGATATTTTCTCCCTTTCCACAGATTGTTATAACAAGTTCATTGTAGGTCATTTTCGTGTTTTGTAAAACAGACTGTAGCTAACTTTCAGATCTTTCGGTACAATGCAAATGGCAGAATACTTGCATGCTAATTCTTCATATATATGTGGAATCCAGTGATCATGCAGATGGCAAATACGTGAGATTTTTTAGTGAACCCTTCATATCTGAAATTTAAGGCTGTCATGGCAGTGGCTATGAAGACTGGTCATCTGAAATGTGATGCTATGTAGTCTATAAAAAGATTTAGTCGATCAAAGATGGTCATCACAGTGTAAGAGCTGATATGGTTCATCCCTTTTTTCTGCTATCTTGTAGACATGTCCACCCTTAGGACAGAGGCAGCACCTTCCTCTAAAGTCTTGGTAAACTTCTATAAGGTACATGGCATTATATAAAAGAGTATCATAAGAACCCGTCATACTGTGGAAAGTGTTGAAATTAAAGACATGAAAATCAGATTCCAATTTAATTTATTAGAGGAGGAGAGGGGATGATAGAGGCTTAACCTAATGATCATATGCTTTACTTATCACAGGTCTGTAGACTAAACTTTGAAATAGTTCATGAACGTATTCAGTACATGGCATGACAAACATCAATTGAATTTGCCTTTGCACCTAACCATCATCCCTGAAGGTATGTTGGATCTTTGAACTAAAACTTCATGTTTGACCATGGCACTAGATGTGGTGGATTGCAGCATTGTATAACTAATTTTATCCCCTGGGTAGAAAGCTTCCATGTTCCTACAGCATTGGCTGTTTCTAATGTGGTGAGGAAAGAAGAGATTTCTGGCTTCCCTGCCAGAAATTGAACTCCTCATCTAGTCTAGTCATACTGACTAAGGTACCATAACTCCTGCCAGTAAATTCAGAATGGAATAACATGGGTAATCCAGTGCTTGAACTTAGAGATGAATCCACATTAACATATCCAAAGAAAGCAGTTTCAGTCTATTTTTGAATGCTTTTTTAAATAGTAGTCATAGTTTGTTGTGTACTGATATTTGGTATGTTTGGAATATTGCATTGTTTTATGTTCTTGAACCATAAGAAACTGGACAGAATTCCTCGACCTAAAAGTGATATATAAGAGGCTTAGTGCTGTTAACATTAGTAACACTGAACAGATCCATAGCAGATGAAAATGTCTACAGAAAACTATGCAGTTGTTTATGTTTAATAAGCATATTTTTTCATATTTCTGGCCCCTTCCTTAATGAAAAATTATTGTATCAAATTTCATGATGGTCACAGTATATGATGTACTGTGAGGCTGTATTATAAAAAATGTTTAAAATCATGTCCTGGAGTAAATTAAGGCCCTTATTGGTGTGACCACATGTACCTACACTATATATAGATTGGGACGAACTGTGAATAATTACATTTTAAAATGTAGTGAAATGATAGAACACAGCGAGTGATATTGGAAATGTGAACATGCTTTCATATTTACCTGCTTGCATCTGACATCATTTGCATCCCATGTTAACATACATAATAGAAAAGCTACACAAAAATCATACCTGGACTCAGTCCAACATGACTTTCTCATTATGAAGAACTTCAGATCCAACATTTCCAGTATGTATTACACACATTGCTTTAGATCACAACTGACCAAATTTTGAAGTTAGATTACAATGTAAGATATGAGAAAAGGTATGTGGTCTCTTTCCAACAGCTTTATGTATACAGTTTCATAATGATGTTTTGGTCCCTCCAGCTGAAATAGCCACCCATACATTTTTCTCCAATAAGGTGGTTGCTTTGATTTCTTATACTCTTTAAAAGTGTTAAAAATGGAAGCTAGAGAAGTGATTAAAGTATTCCCTCTCCTCCTCGTCATAGTGCAATGAATTCTCTTGATGATATCAAGTTTGCCATTAACAAAAATAATATTGCTCAAAGTTGATTCTCTGAAGTCCTAATAATACTTTGATGGAGGAATTTGTACTTTGCAAAGATGAAACATCAGAAGTCTAAAAGTTACCTCTAGCGTATAAACCTAATCTTTGTTCAGATATGAAGACAATATGATGGTTGTATACACATATATATAGTCATTCCTGTTTGTTCACTTGCAGTGGAGATTTTATTAAACTTCCAACTTGGTGTATTTCCATTCTAGTCTAATTATATGCAAATACCATGTTCCTTTTTCAATCAGTATAGATACCAGCAAATTTGTCAAAAAATGCACATTTGCCAGTGTATTGTATGTTTTGCCTTGAGGTTAACACAGAGCATGAGAGTATTGTTTTTAGGATAAATTTTTTGCATAAATATTATCAGTTTCATTGTACTTATTTTTCCAGATTGTGTTACTTTGTCTGTGATTTATACTTCAACTAAGAATATGATAATAAAGTGCATTTATTGTATATAATTAGTATTTAAAACAATTCACATCTGAAAGCTGTTGGAAAAATGAGTTGTGAAATGAAACATAACCTCTCAGCTAGCAGGCTCCCCCACAGATTTATTTTCAGTTAATGTGACTGACTTAAATTATAAATAATCAGTTAAAGTCTTGCTGTGTTATCTTGGTTCTTGTATTCCATGTTCTCACATTTCAGATGAGAACTTTGAAATAGAATGTGAATGCAGTCTGTCCCATCCATGTTGATTCATTTTAATAATCATCTTATCTGATTTGTCTTCGGACATATGTAGTTTATATTAAAAGTGAAGATTTTTCTTCTACTGTTTACCTACGGAGAAGCTGAGAAAGACTGGGAAAAGAAGACTGAAATCATGCAAGAAATGCATATGCATAACGGGAATCTTGTGGTGGTATGCACATCCATGATTCATGTCCCAAACAAATCAATCAACTGAATCAGATGATTTCAGCAATTATTACTTGAGTCCAGTGTATTCCTACTTTTCATAGAGTTAAAACTGGACGTTTATCACATTTCTCAAAAACACCTTGTAATTCAGAAATTGTATATAGAACATAAACTATTCTGACATGACAGAAGCATTCATATACTAGGTGACAGAAACAAAATTCCCCCACCAGCAATAACAGTTGAGGAGCTGTTGTATCAGCATTTTCTCAGCAATATGTGACATGCCAATATGAGGTTCTACTGGAAAGTTCCTGGACTGTTGTCATAACTGCCTCGGTCAAAGATGAGAGGGAATGCCAAGGTGACACTTCGGCAGACCTATTGCATCAGTCAGCCACGCGATGCAGCACCGTGTACAGTATTGGTTTTACACAAATGTTTTTTCAATTTCGTGTTTCATTTTGTCTGCGATGGATAGCAAAATTCAGCAACGTGTTTGCTTCCAGTTTTGTATGAAGTACGGTAAATACACTACCAGAACCCTCAAAATGCTTTGTGAGGCTTTTGCATTCTTTAAGGCGGACAGCAGTTTTTGAATGGAATTCACGTTTCAATGCTGGTCAAGTGTCAGTTGAAGATGATGAATGTTCAGGTGACCAAGCGCCAGCAAAGCGACAGAAAATATTGGAAAAATTCGAGAACTCATCCACGAAGACCATCACTCCATGAGTTCACAGACACCATTGGGATAATTTATGGACTTTGCCAGGTCTTAAAAGAAAATTTGAACATGTGCTGCATTGCCACAATGTTTGTTCTCCAACTCTTGACAAGTGATCAGAAGCAGCAGTGTGTAAACATGTGTCTTGAAGCTACGAGAGAAGGCTAATGAAGGGACAGCTTTTACTCGTATCTCTAGGAACATAACGGGTGACAGAAGTTGGATTTATGGTTATTATCCAGAAACAAACAACAGTCACCACAGTGGAAGAGCCCACAATCACAAAAAGCAAAGAAGGCATGGCAGGTCTGGAGTTCAACAGAGAGCATGCTCATTGTTTTTATTCGACATGAAGGGGATTGTTCACCATTTGTTCCTCCTAACATTATGGTCAACTATGGCCTTTACTCATACTGTGACGTTTTGAGACACACGAGAGAAAATGTGCAATGTAAAAGACCGGAACTTTGATGCAGCCATAACTGGCTCCTTCATGAGAACAACACGCCCACCCACACACCCCTGAAACATACAGAGTTTGTTACTGTTTTTTTTAATTGCTAGTGGGGTGGGACTAAGTCCCTTGTACTGCAGCCACTTCTGTCTTATTGTACCAGCCCCAGATGATTGTGGAGCAATTGGCAGAATGAAGGTTGGCAGGGGAAACTGAAGTACTCAGAGAAAACCTGCCTCAGTTTGCAGCTTGAACCATTGTGTGCAGTCACTATCTTGGGACAATATTTTCATGTATTATGTGACACTAGAGATGGAATTTGGATTGGTGAATGGATATACTGACCACTTATACACATGACTTGGAAATACAAGTAATTACAGTACCACCGCAAATCTGCACAGCGCTCACTAAGCCTCTTCCAGCCTGCTTTGTCTTCACCAGTCATTCCCTGGTTATGGCTTCTAACAGTGGAGATCCTTCAGCTCCACTTGTTCATATTACATCAATAAACATTATACTCTCATCTTCTTGAATATCCCTCACTAGTTCCTTTCCAAGAATGTCTCCATACTTCTCAGCTGGATAACCCTTGGGTTCTGCCACCTTCACCTTTACACTGTCTGCTGTAATGTGGTCTCCTGCAGATAGATTGTGAGCTGCCACGAGAGTTTTCCCAAGTTTGTTATAACACGCCATCTCACTGGGCTGAAACTTCTTTACAGGATTTCCTAGTGCAGCTTCAACATTGCGGACCTGATCCACAAGGTTGCGGAACTCAGTTGGGGTTAAGGAACAGACATGATCACTGCCCTTCCAACATTTGTCTAAAGTGATGTGTCTCTCCAGCACCTATAAAGTGTAACATGATCATGTTACTATATTGTACTTGCTTGCAAAGCCTGATTTACATACTAACATAATCCAATCCAAAATTGTAAAGAATTTGGTCCTGTTTCTGCAACATTATCTAGTCTTTGCACATAGTGTACAAAGTAAATGCATATAGAATAGAAGAAACATTATTCTTAAAGTGATCATTTTATGATGACAAAACAGATGCTTCATATTTCCACCAAATGAAGCATGAATTCTGAAGAATTTATTAGTTGTTGCAAGAGAAAAGATTAACTTTAAAGGTGAATTTCTCTTTAAGTGTAAGAATTTGGGATCCATAATGATGGAACAGAAACATAACATTGAATTAGGCCGCGCCATAGCTCAAGCGGTTAGTCGCTGGCTTCCCACCGCGGCAGCCCAGGTTCAATCGCAGGTCTGGTCAAGTGGGATTTGTCGTGGACAAAGTGGCGCTGGGGCAGGTTTTCTCCGAGTACTTCGGTTTCCCCTGCCAACCTTCATTCCACCAATTGCTCCACAATCACCCTCACCTATCATCTTGGGCTGGTACAATAGGCCAGAAGTGGCCACAGTACAAGGGACTTACTCCCACCCCACTAGCAATAAAAAAAATAATAACATTGAATTGCATGTCTGTTATCTGATGGAAATCATGAAGCATTATTCTGAAGGCTGTCCAATAGTATATATAAATTACTTGTAACTACATCACTACACAGCAGACAAGTGTTAGCAGTGAGATTATATAACAGGAGTTAAAACATAAGACAGTCCAGGAGAGAGCCCCATCATTTGCAAGTGGCAGCATGGATTTCAGCATACATGTATAATTGATATTAAAAGAAAATGGTATGTTGTGTGATTACCACCATGAAATTAATTCAATCACTTTTGAAAATTGCTTAAATGAGAAACTGACAACTTATCCACCATCTTCACTGTGGTTATAGACCATGGACTGCAGCATTCTGTGCAAGCAAATAAGGCACTTATGTCTTCAGACACAAAAAACATATGCAGGAATAGTGAAACAACATAAAATGTCTTCTTAAGAAGATATAACAGTGTAAGAACTATTTGAACTAACAAGAAACAAGCCAGTGTATCAGTTAAGAGCTGAGTCCTTCTTACATAATCATGGCCATACTCTTTCAAGATTACCTCCATATCATTGTGACTTTTAGCCCACTGAATACATATGAAGCATACAGAAGAGAACAGCTGCAGAAAGAAATTTGAAGCCCAACTTCAGTGAACTGTGGAAATTTACACAAGACATTTCATCTGTAGCAGTGGAAGACTGAAAGAAGGAAAGTAAACCTTGAAAATGACTACTTGAAGAATGGCTTGGTTGGCAGCGGAGTTGATAAGACAGTTACAAACTTGGTTTACAGTGGCAATGGTAGTAGTAATAGCAGTAGCAGCAAGGATGGCAATGAATGAGGTACTGATAGTTTGACTGATATACTTTCTTTAACAAACTTAACTCCTTGAAGCAGGATCCTTCTTGAACAGCTGAAGTCATGCAGCTAGTCAAAATCCCAACCTTTTATGGAACCTGAAGTTCATTACTGGTTCACATGAGCCCACTGTTTGTCACAACCTGAGACAGATGAATTCAATCCACATTCTTCAACCCTACTTCTTTCAGATCCATTTCAGTATTATTCTCCCATTTACATCTAGATTCCACAAGTGGTGTCTTCTCTTCAGTTCCTCAGAACAAAACATTGTAAGCATTTTTCACCTCTTTCATGTATTCCACATGCCTCATCCACTTTGACATCCTTCATATAATCTTCCCAACATATGGCCAGTTTCAACTGAATATCTGTCTTTGATGGAACACAGTTTATTATTTATTTTCCCAGTAGTGTTGCTAAGTATAGGAAGCATTTCCAATCGCCTGTGCTATGCAAACTGCCAACCTGAACCTCTCATCTTGCAATCTTTTTTTAATTATACTTCCAGGACCAAGTTAGATTTGGGAAAATAAAACCTTAAAGCCTCTCCCCAGATTTATTAAAGGTAATGTCCCATCAACAGTCAACATTTAACCCCTCAAGCGTGTGCGACACACCGTATGCATCCACTCAGCTACATGCATCTAGCGTGAATTTAAGCGGGGGTATTTAAATCCCTCCTGGTGCTTTATTTTTGCAAGCATTGAAGGTTTCGTGCAGACATTTACCTAAATATTTTTAAATAACGAAATCTCTATTTGAAAAATTCCAAAAAATTACATATTTATAGTTGTTTACAGTTCATTATTATAAATGTGTACTTACATTTTGTCAAACTATTTCTTTTTCCAAGCTCTCCATATCCAGTGTCTAGTATTTGACCTTGATGTGGTATTGCTCAAAACAGGGGTCTAGGCAGAAAGACGGTGTCCCTGGACAGTTTTTACACCTGTATCTGGTTTGGTTTCTCTTTCTGTTTTTTGTACACACCACACACCTTCTTCTTCCAACTTTATAAGTTTCAGTTTGGGGATTTTCTTGAATGAAATGCTGTCCCGTCAATCTCGTACATTCCATGTTAGTATCTGAAGGATGCCCTCTGCGCTTTTCTAAATTCTGTCCCTGGGACTTTGCTATGATCTTATTCACTAAGTTTATTCTGAATAACAGATGATCTTTCTTGTTACCAGCCTTGCAGTACAGAATGTAAGCATTCAACACTGCCGTATTCACTAAGTGGTTGAATTATTTTTCATACCACACTTTTACTCTTGTTTCCTAATAAAATACATTATGAGGTTTGGTTTCTGAATTCCCATCAGCATAAGTAAACCTAGGAATACCCTAATTTCATTCGAAGTTGTGGGAACCCACGTTTTAAATGTGATTTTATTTGTGTCAGGGGCAAGAAACTGTCCCGCCAAACAAGTTATGTGACCGAGATGCCATGGGGCTCCGCTAAGAGAGTGTCGCAAGGCAGAAAAAGATAACAAATTCATAAATATTGACACAGGCGTCAGGCAACTTCAACCACTAGGTTCGTAACATCGTAAATCAGACACAGCTGCTTTGTCACAGTAACCCAAGCCAGTAAAAAAAAAAAAAAAAATCCCGACACACAAACACAGATAACAAACATTCAATGAAAGTTAGCTAACAAATTATCTCTCTGAAAGCAAGTCGGAATGTGAGTGGGAACACTTCTTTCGTAAGCAGCAGACACCAGATGCTTTGTAGCAAGCAAAGCGAGTAAAAAAAATACCACACACAAACAGATAGCGAGGAATGAAAGAAGTCAGTATTAGCTCACATATACATTCACTGGAATTACGTACATCAGAGCGTAGGCGTTAAGAATTCTTAGTGAAAAGTTTGGACTCAACATATGGGGCGCGCACCCTTAGAGCATGGGTTTGAGGGGATGCAGATGTTGTGTCGCACACGCTTAGGGATTTAAATGGCTCCACTTAAAGTCACGCTCAAGGGGTTGACAAGACAGTATTTCACTTTCAAGCTAATAATACTAGTAATCAGATAGATGCTAATGATGATGACCAAGCTTGATTGCAGCTAAAAAGGAATGAATAAGCAAGACCAACATTAATCTGGTTACATGGAGTGTAAAAGGAATTTCATTTGAAGAATACCAATTGGAAGACATTCTTGTGAAGCAAACAACTGCAGCAGTCTCTGGGGAAAATGGAACTAAAACATTTAAAGACTCAAATACTTACATTCAGTCACTTAATGGAGTGAGAACAAACGGGGAAACTCAAAACAGCATAATGCTAAAGATATTCAAATCATGCCATCAACTACTGACATCTGAACTTTTTTGAACAAATGCTTAATTGAAGAAAGGCTCAAAATTATGGAGAGGTTACATAACCATATTAGATATATATGCTCCAGTAGAATGTAAAGAGAAATTAAGTGTATCATTTTACAAATTATTATGTAAAAATAATATACAAAGTCAACAAATCACAAACATTAGTACTGGTCATAGATTTTTAACACAAAAATAAACATTAATATGGAAATATTGGCCCATTTAATGAAATTATCTATATCAATAATGAGGTAAAACAGATATTTTGTTTCATACAGTAATACAAATTCATCTATTGAACACAATACACAGCTAAATGCTTCATTGTTGATTATACTCATATAATTTACAACCAGAAGATAGTATAATTGGCATAGTAAAACCTTCCAATGTGAGTATAATCTGGCAACACTGGAACTTCCTGGAGGACAGGGGAGAGACTCCCCAAGCTCTGAAAATGAAAGCAATGCTATGGCCCCAACGGTAAACTTTAGATTCATAAGGTCCAATAGTAGGCTTTTGTGAATATGATAAATGGACTCCTGAGTTCCTTGAAATGTTGGAATTCCTTGAGTGGCTGCTATGAACGTTTCATGGATGAACCTGCACCATAAATTTGTTTGCACTCGCATCATCCATCCTCACACAAATTTCCTGTCTTACCTGTGCTCCCAATGCCACTGCAGCAACTGATATATCAGTACCCAGCTCATGACCAGAATATCCAATAGGAATATCAGGAAATTCTTGTTTGAACATCTGTATTACACGGAGGTTAACATCACATGGAGGGGTAGGGTATGCAGACACACAATGCAGCAAGCAGAATTGAGATTTGGCAGCCATTAATAACTTGTAAACAGAATGCACTGTTTCCATGTTCTGCATCCCTGAAGGAGAAATTAGTAGGATCAGAACTGTGAATGACACAGGCACACTTTAATTGAGGAGTTCCTTTTTTACTGTGGCCACTTCTGGCCTATTGTACCAGCCCCAGATGATAGGTGAGGGTGATTGTGAAGTAATTGGTGGAATGAAGATTGGCAGGGGAAACCAAAGTACTCAGAGAAAACCTGCCCCAGTGCCACTTTGTCCACCACAAATCCCACTTGACCAGACACATGATCGAACCCGGGCTGACGCGGTGGGAAGCCAGCGACTAACCGCTTGAGCTATGGCGTGGTCTAATTGAGGAGTTAGTAGAAATAAGAATTATTAATGACAGAAATGAGCAGTGGCATCTTATGGGGACTGATTGGTTGTTTTTTCTCCAACACTGAATAATGCTGCACAGTAAAACCTCTGAATCCGAAGGTGTCTGGTACATTTTGAAATTTGGCTAATTATTTTTAACAGCGGTACTTTCAACTGCTTAAATCAGAAGTCAGACTTTTATACTATGTAAAACAGGTAAAAAGGTGATGCTATTCCTGTAACAGGCTGTGGAGGCCCATAAGGCTGTAAGACATTGAGGCTTCCACATTTTCTACGCCATCAGCTCACAGATGGGAGTGAGGTTGTCAGCATCATGGCCACCCTTTACCCCCAAGAAGATTCCTGATATTTATGTTACAGGCTGAGCTGACCATTGTGCAGCTAGAAGTATTAGGTCAACTGAAAAGTCCAATGACCTCACCAGAGATCGAACCAATGACCTTCCGGCTTGTAGCACAGTGCCTCAACCAACTGTGCGACCGCATACATCTTCATACTGCATACACTACATAAACTACATCATTAGAGAACATTTTCAGTTTTCTTTCTTTCTTTCTTCCTTACTTACTCCAGCAGATTATTAGAATCCTGTACATATGGTTTTATTCTTTCCTTTTCTGAAAGGGATGTTTTTTCTTGGCTCCATTTTGAAAGACAATATACAGGACATTCAAACAGACTACCCTCTTTAATGTCTTGTCCTTCCATTCAATTTCTTTGTATCTGTTTGTTGTATTTTAGTGTCCTGTTGCACTGATTCATATTCATAATGTGTATATATTAACAGTCTTCAAGTGCACACAATCCCATCTACCACTTCAACCCTACATGTTTTGGCAGTATGCTGCCATCTTCAGGTGTATCGATCCGTTAACCATTTCACTGCTTGCCTTTATATGTCCATTTACAAATAATATTAAATTTGTATATGTCCTTATATAATAATAAAGTTTAGGTATTTAAAACTTGTTAAAACCTATTATCTCATACATCATATTTTTAAAATTTGTGTGTATTATTAATCATCCACATGGGGGGTCATTCTTATGTTCCTAATGTTGTGTGTATATTGTGTCTTATGATGTGTTCTACTCTTGTGGCTGCATGCGTTGTATCGTTGAATGTGTGCGACACACACACTTGAAGACTGTTAATATATACACATTGTATCTGTTTATTAGTGAAAAATTTACATTCTTCTTGAGAACCAAAGAAATTTTCCAGTTAATTTTGCATTTATTTCATATTCCACTTTTGAGAGGTTTTAATGAATCTGATTGAGAAGTTATGAAGCATCTACTGAAATATCTAATTTGAGAAAGATGTGGAAATGACTGGCACTGTTTTGCCATATGCCTGGAGACACTGAAGATGGCTGAATACAAGAATATAATGAAATTGGTGCCACAGAGGAGACAGGAATAAGTTTCAACTTGAATACAAGTAGGGTATGTTTGCAGTTATGACTTTTGAATAAATACTGGAATATAGTACATAGTTTCAAAGGATGATATCAATGTGTGGGGATTTTGTCATTACTCCAATGACAACCCACTTCTTCGGAAAGTTTGTAGGTCCTGAAAAGGACCATTGGCTGCTGGGATGTTTGGCCGTTGAAGTAGCACGGCTAGAGATGAGATGTCAGCTACGGTGTGTTGACTAATGTTGCGGCAGCTAAGTTAGTAGTCTGGCCGCCGAGCATGATTGCTGGATGAAGCCTGGTTGCGGAGTGCGGTCACTGGAGTGGCGGCAGCTGCGCCAGTTGCCCAGTGAGTTGGGCATGACTACCAGAGAGCCGAGGCAGCCGTGCCTGGCACAGTGAAGTGCCAATACCTCCAAAGACCGATCGCTCGGTGCGAAGTGTGGTAGCTGACTGGCTGATTCTGACTGATTTTGACTGACTTGTGAGCGTTGTGCTCTGCCTTTTACACAATGCTTGGCGGAGGAGCGAAATTTGCAGAGCGCTGATTGGTTAGCAAAAATGAGGAGCGGAAATTTGCATTGCGTACTTGTATAAATATTCTATGTGGGATGTTCCCACAAATGTATTATTTGGTATAATTTGTAGAATTGGTAGAATTTACACAAACAAGGCAGTTGCAGTCCATAAAATACCTAATACACTCATACACCACAGATGTGAGGCCACACCATAGCTCAAGCGGTTAGTCGCTGACTTCCCATTGTGGTGGCCCGGGTCTGGTCAACTGGGATTTGTGGTGGACAAAGTGGCACTGGGGCAGGTTCTGTCTGAGTACTTCGGTTTCCCCTGCCAATCTTCATTCCACCAATTGCTCCATAATCACCCTCACATATCATCTGGGGCTGGTACAATAGGCCAGAAGTGGCCGCAGTGCAAGGGACTTAGTCCCACCCCACTAGCAATAACAAAATATCAACCACAGATAAAATCATATGTTTTCTTTGTGGCTTTTTCACTCACCTGTAGATACAACCATTGGCAGTTTCTTCGAGGCTGCATGCTGCAATAATGGGAAGTTATTTGCATCACCAGAACCAATCTTCAAAAATGATACTGGCAATGAACACAGGACATCGACTGACACCTTCAATGAGTTAAAACAATGCATAAGAAAAGCCATACCTTACATTCAATGACACATACTGGAATTTGTGGTTCTATGTGTAAAATGATTCTGCCATATTATATTTAAGCATCCTGTTACACTCTACACAATATATGACACAAAACTCTGTCCTAAGTGCAACAATTTATTGTAGTTCTTTCGTCTTCCTTTCTTCTACACTACATGTTTCGGCCATAAATGGCCATCATCAGGTGTATTCTCTCACATAGCTGCTACAGTGCACGTAGTTCAAAATTTAAAAAACACCAGTCATCCCAATTGTTCACTTCTCCGTTGCTAACAGGTTTCAATATATCAGAATCCTCCCCGCTGATATCTGTCAGATATCAGCAGGGAGGATTCTGATATATCGAAACCTGTTAGCACTGGAGAAGTAAACAATAGGGAAGACTGGTGTTTTTTAAATTTTGAACTACGTGCGGTGTAGCAGCTATGTGAGAGTATACACCTGATGATGGCCATTTATGGCCAAAACATGTAGTGTAGAAGAAAGGAAGATGAAAGAACTACAATAAATTGTTGCACTTAGGACGGAGTTTTGTGTCAGATTCTGCCATCTCTCATTATGTGTTGAAGACCTTAAAATATAAAAAATAATAGTAAGATGTGATATCAGTAAGGTAGGGTGAGCATATATCAGGAAATTTCAGGATACTTCCATATTTATATCCTGGAGATATGCAAAAAATTATTAAAAATGATAAAATTGTCCTTGATTTTTAATTCTCATAGATAGTACAGAATAAAAGTACCAGATTCTGGAAACTTTTGTATTTAATTTCACTGCCAAATACATAACTCTTCTCGAGTATTATCCTCAGTACAAAACACAGTACAGCAAACTCGCCATTATCTGATATCCAAGCATCCAGAATTCTCATGCAACTGGGAAAATTTCAAAGAAAATTTACTACTTTTTTAAAGAAACTTAGAAAAAAGTTGCAATGCACTTATATTCACCCGTGACATATTAGTTCTCCTACATGCCATGAGGAGCACTGCCCATCATCTTCCCTCATAGAGTTGCCATTACAGCAGAATATTTTTTTTTTAATTTGTGCTTGCATTACATCATATTATAAATATTTCTCCCATCAAACCACAGTGAACTTTATTTTGTCCTTTTTACTGTATGCTTAATACTGTATAGCCTTGTTGAAAACACTGTACTATATTATGTTTCTGTAAGTTTTTCTCATGCAACCAGCAGATTCATGTAAACAGTATATTCCACCCATATATATCTCATAATCACGAGACTGAGATCAAGTTTTGTACCTATATATAGCAACAATTATAACTGTGTAAGTTCATTTCAATCATTTGGATTTTATATAGGATGCAGGGAAGTACAAAAATAGCATTTTTCTTGAAGATTCCTATCCTTTGGGATATAATACTATGTAGGTCACTAAACATAGACTGGCGTTTCAGAGGAACATAATGCCATCATCTTCAGGTTCTGCTTCCTGCCTGCTTCATGCTAGTTTCTTGCTTGGCTTACTCTCTGACACTGAAAATAGAGGTGATACATTCCCCCAAAACAATGGTTCACTTTCAACAAACTAAATGGCATTAAATACCAGAAGACAGTCACCAGTGTGAGAACCTGAAATCCAACACCATTTTGTTTAATTACAAACACACTGGAATGAAGTAAGATAGAAAGGAGCACTTACTAGAAAGGGGCTCAGGCACTCTGTTAATAAAGACAAGAGTAAGCTATAGAAACCAATAATTTCCTCAGTGATGGTGATGGCAACATAGAGATGACTAGATAACCATCCAGCATCTGTTTCCTGCTGCCCTTTTTATAATAACTGATCTTCCTCTTTGACTGTCCTGTTTCCAAACTCTTGCCTCACCAAGCATACCCTTTGCACATTGAAAAATTAATAAAAATAATATTTTAATTGAATTCATATAATGTTCAAATGTGTCTTATGTGACTCTGCATAGCTCAGTTATTGGAGAGCTAATTGCAGTGTATGGAGTCAGAAATTAATTTTACTTGCATTTCATCATTCACCATATTAACAACTAAAAGTTCTACATGTTAATGTCTGTATTCTTATGTCATCATTGTGTGATGAGCTCTTTTCAAGAAAATTGGTAAAGTTCAATGAGTTTCATATGAAGTAGGAGTAATAATGTAATGATACAAACTAAATTAAATGGAACCGGAATACCAAAGTTAAGTGAAATCCCTTCAGTAATTCTGGGAAAAAAATTGTGAACATACAGAGGGGTAGCTGGATATATTCTCCCCATTTTGTGCATGTTTCATGGATTATATGCGAAGACTGAACAAATATAGCCGATTATAAATTTATTTTATAAGAAGGTAAAGTTGTCTCTGTGTGCGATTACTATGCCATGAAGGCGTATGGAGGAGAGGATGTATAGATCCACATTTTCTTGACCTCAGCACTAGTTGGAGATGAGTGGTCAGCTTCAGGCCCCTGCCACTTTACCCCTTGGGAAAGAGCCCCCAGTACCCATTGGATAGGAGGCTGGATGGGCCATGGAGCCAGTCTGTACAACAAGGAGAGGAGAAAGTTCTTGACCCTACTAGGACTTGAACTCTGACCCCTTGATTATCCAGCCTGTAGCCAGTTGCTATACCAACTATACTGTCTTGGCTCCCGATTATACTTCATAATCCCTATAAATTAATAACAGCTATAACACATTCAGTGTCATTAAAATGTTAATTCTACTGTCACATTCACTTAAACCAGTAACATTTTCAAGATTCTGTGTGTACTAGATGAAGAATTTCACAAGTTTTGAAGACATGTCTAAGATCATTATTCTTAGTTTATACCATGTCCATAGCTGAAGCACTGAAGATGATTCCAATTTGAAATGCGAATTCTTTAAGTTCTTTGAACTGAGAGTCTGAGAACTCAAGATGTTGCTTATGTTCTCCATATGTACTACCCCATGAATTGGGTCCAATGTACGGCCGTTCAAGGGCTGCAGAATTGAACTTCTCATGCAGAGTTGTCTTCTGGAACTTCACACAATCTGCACCACTTTCCTTAAAAAAAAAAGATTCACATAGCTTTTGTTTCAGTTCTTCTGGGTTTATATGAATTAATCTCTATTAGTAATGGAATATCTGATCATAATGCTCAGTGTCTCGTACTAAAAAGTATCAATTTCCTGGATAAGAAAAAAGTGCAGGGAATCACAAGAAGATTAGTAAATGAAGACTCAATTGCTCAGTTTCTTAATAAACTATCTAATGAAAAATGGGAAAATATATATAAACTTAATGATGTAAACGAAATATTCAACTAATTTTTAAATAAGTATTTACTTGCCTATGAGTCATGCTTCCCAAAGCAAAATGTAACAAATAAACACAAGGATAATGGCTGGATAACAGCTGGTATATGTACATCCTGTAGACGGAAGGAATCCTTGTTCATTCTCTGTAGAAACAATTACAACTATTTGTTTAAATCATAATTTAAATCCTACTGCATGATATTAAGAAGACTAATAAGAGAAGCTAAAAGGAAATATTATAATCAGTTAATTACATGAGCCAAAAACAAAATAAAAACTGCCTGGAACATTATCAACACTGAAATAAGTAGGCCTAAATCAGAATAAAGAATGTCTGCCACAGACTTTTCAAAATAATAATAAAAAAATAAATACTGAAGAAGCAGCTTATAGTTTTAATAAATATTTCACATCAATAACAGAAAATCTTAATATTAAGAAAACTAATGTTTATACTGCAATGTCATACTTGTATTCACATTTCTCAAATGGTATTCCAGATATGAATCTTAAGAGTCCAATATGGCGGATATAAGATGAGTTGTACTAACCGTATTAACAGTGCTGCAGTTTTAGTTGACAATAGTGGGGAACCGAGTAATATTTTGTGTATTTGTTGTGCGGAATTGGAGTTGGAGCTGGAAAAGACTAGAATCGAGCTGAAAGCAGCTCAAAATGTAAGTGATAAACTAGAAACAAACTGTCAAAAGAGCGCTAATCTGAACAGGGAACTACAAAAAGCAAAGGAGGAAATACTATCTTATAAAGAAATTATAGAAGTGCTTCAAGCCGAGTTAAGTGATAATGTGAGACTAAATAAACCGAGTGAGCTGGAACGAAACAATAATTATTGTGAACAAGCTGAAACCTTATTAATCGAAGAAGACTGGGAATTAGTAATAGACAAAAAGAAAAGAAATCTTCAAATAGAAATTTAATACAAATTATACCCACAAAAGTGAATAAACCTCATTCGAAACATAACCTCAAATATGACGAAAAACGAACCAATATGAGAACGAAAGAACTCTGGCAAAAAATATAATGAATCATACCTAAAATACGGATAATTGGCGATAGCCATGTGAAAAAAAGTGCAGCCGAACTTCGCATGATTTTGGATCATAGATACGGTATTATGGGAATTACCAAACCAGCTGCCTTGATGAATGATATTTTGACAACAGCTACAGATGAAGTTGCTTCACTAAATAATAAGGATATCCCGATCCGCGATCTTATGGGCCGGGGCAAATGATATTAGTAAAAATAATACAAATGAAGCACTTAAGTACTTAACGAAGTTTATGGAAGAGCATAAAAGGACTACTAATATCATTCTAATCCACACACTACATAGATATGATCTTACATCTATATCCTGTGTAAATAAAGAGGTACTGAAATTCAACAGGCAAGTAAAGAAAATAAGCAAACTGAATCCAAATGTGAAACTAATGGAAATTGATCTACAAAAACAACACTTTACGAGGCATGGACAACATCTAAATCAATGGGGCAAAGAGTTGGTTGCCTCAGAGCTGGCAAAGATAATCAAACGACACTTAACTAAGTCAAACATTAATCCTATCCAAATATTTTGCATGAAGAAAATTCAACTGCATAAAATGAAATTGAAGAAGTGGTGTTATCAAATAATTGTAAAAAGACTGTAAAATTAAATAAGTGTCAAGGTCAAGAAATAGAGACTAATAGCAAAAGATCTATGAGATCTAGAAAAAAACCAGCAACAAAATCAAATGGTTTTTATGGTAAAACCATTTAATAAGGGTAAAACAAAAACTACAAAAAATAACATTGTAGAAATATTTCACCAAAACATACGTGGTTTAAGAAATAAGTATAATGAAATATTGTCATTTACAAGAGTATATACCTCAAGTAATCTGTTTCACTGAACATCATCTTGGTAGAGATGAAATAATTCATATTAAATTGACCAATTATACTCTAGGTGCATATTATAGCAGGAAAAATTTTAATAATGGTGGTACGTGTATATATGTGCATGATATTTTAACAACTCATACTATAGATCTTGATAAATTTTGTTGTGATAAGGATATTGAAGCCTGTGCTGTCACTTTAAATACTATAAATTTTAAAATAATTATTTTAACTATATATAGATCCCCATCCAGTGATTATAAAGTATTTTTGAGTAAACTGGAATTAATTCTACAAAATTTGTATAAAAAAAGGATAATGTTATTGTTTGTGGGGATTTTAATGTGAATTATTTAGAAAACTAGACTTGAAGATATTTTTAGCTCCTTCAATCTTAGAAGCGTTATTACCTTTCCTACTAGAATAGGACCAAATTCGTCCACAATTATTGATAATATATTTACTGATGAAAAACATATTACTGACTATGAAGTTCTATCTATCTCTAATGGATTATCGGATCATGAAGCACAATTACTAATTGCACAATTTCCATTACCTTTTATCAAAAAGAATGAAAATATAGTTAAAAGAAATATAAATGTTTATAATTTGGCAGAATTTATAATGAAACTAAGTTATAAAAAATGGGAACTAGTTTATAACAATAATGACATTAATACTAGCTTTAATCATTTTCTAAATATTTTGTTAAGACATTTTTATGAGTCTGAAGAAAGCAGTCTTCTGGGATTTGGCACCGTGTATATGTGGTGTTAACCGACGTTTCGGAGGAATGTATTGCCCCCATCTTCAGGGTAGGAGAAAAAGTATAAGAATTCTGCAAGCGACAACACCGTGAGAAATGGTAAAGCAGACTGGAAATATACCAGCTATACCACATATACACGGTGCCAAATCCCAGAAGACTGCTTTCTTCATAGTCACCGCCGTGAAAGCCTCAAATCTTACATTTTTATGAGTCGTTCCCAATAACAAGTAGACAAAAATACAAACAGAAACCATGTATTACCACTGGTATAAGAATTTCTTGTAGAAAAAAGAATAATATATCTTGAAGCAAAAAAAAAGTAATAACCCTATAATAGCCACCTATTATAAGAACTATTGTAAAATATTAAACAAAGTGATAATCTAGGTAAGAAGATGACATATGATAATCAAATTAAATATTCAAAAAATAAAGCTAGAACCACTTGGAGAATAATAAATAGTGAAGTGTTAAAGAAAGGAAATAGAGACATTATTCAAACCTTGGACATTGAAGGTAAAAAGAATACTAACTTGAATGATATTGTTGAAACATTTAATAGGTACTTTAGTGGTATAGCGGATAATATACATAAATACATAAAAGGAAATGATAAAACTATTAAATCAAAAACTACTAATTATATGACATACTTGACTGATGCATTTGAGAATCCATTACCTAGCATAAAAATTATAAAAACTACGAGTAGTGAAATAGAAAGGATTATATGGTCCCTAAAATCTAGTCAAACCCATGGATATGATGAAATTTCGAATAATATACTCAAAGCCTGTAAAACCTTTATTAGCGAACCGATAAGTTACTTATGTAACAGAACTATGCATGAGGGTATTTTCCCAGACAGACTAAAATATGCTACAATTATGCCAATATACAAAGCTGATAAAAATCTAGAATCAAATTACAGACCTACATCCATATTGACATCTATTAGTAAGATTTTTGAAAAGGTAATGCATAGCAGATTGTTAAAACATTTGAATGATAATAGTATATTAAATAAATACCAATTTGGATTTAGAGAAAAGCAAGGGACTGAAAATGCAATTTATATAGACTTATCTCTGGAATACTAGACTCTTTAAATAAAAAAATGCAAGTCTCTGGGATCTTCTGTGACTTAGAAAAGGCTTTCGATTGTGTTAGCCATGATATATTATTGGCTAAATTGAGGTATTATGGAATAAAAGACAAGCCATACATACATAGATACATAATTTCACAGATCCATTGTCCGGAAACCGGACTGGATATTGAATTTGTCAGCAAAATGACATTGCAAAATGCAATCTAGTCTCAACAATTAAAATATTCAAGAATTATAAAATAAAAACACAATAATAAAATAAAAAGCAGTCA